TAATAAGAAACAGCCAATAATAGGTCTCCATGCATAATTAAGGAATATAAAACAAACGCGTGAGATGGAATATAATTATATTTGGAATAAATTCAGAATTAAGATTTTTGTGTCTCTCGTTTTTTATCGAGAACTTTAATAATTGTTAATTCAGCACTGTACGTATAGAAATAATGTGTCGCCCAACCATTTTTATCTTAATTTCCTATATTTGTATTTAATATATGAGATGATTTTTATTTGTTAATATTGTCAGTTATAACTCAGTTAAGAGTCAGTCACAAGTCACTGGAACACTACCAATCTCACTGTCTCAATCAACCTGCAACAAGTAGGTACCTAATTGTACTTCGTCATCATTAAGTTTATCGAAGACTACCATACGTAAAGACAGTATTTTTTTTAAAAACAGAGTTTGATGTTACGTGACTACCGCCGGCCATGAGTATCCGCATCTCCAAAGTAATTGTAGGTGTGCTGTCGACCTTTCAAAAAGAAATATGCTCTTTTCTTGAAGGTTACAAAGTCGGAAATACTGCTGCTGAAAATTGATTCTAAAGCATGGTTGAGCAAGCCTTGAAAAACGCGCGGTGAAAGATTTCCACTCATCCAGATGGTTAAGGTGGATTTTAGTCTATGACGGGGTTTTTTTTATTTATTTATTTTTATACAACTTAGAATGGCAAACAAGCTGACTGCCCACCTGATGGAAAGTGGTAACCAGAGGTACCTAAGCAATCGACTTTTGTACAAAGTCTCCCTCTGGTTGTTCGATTGTGAAATTCAACGGCACGTATCAATTCATTCATTTGTTAAAATAACATCAACACAAAAAAAGAGATTTAAAAAAAGAAATAATAAATAAAAAATAACATAGATTTTTTTACGCTATCGGTGGATTAGGATAGTAAAGTGCTGATCATCAATAATTCGTGCCGCCCGACATTGAAAGCGGTCTAATGGTAGATGCTGGTACATCTTTTTAATGGGTGAGAACGGAGTGGTAACTCCGTCTGCTCTATCGGTATATGGCACTAGTGAGAGATAATAGGTGAGAATAAATGCAGGTCAGCTAGCCCATCATAACGAATCCCACAAAAAATTTACCACGATGGTTTCCTACTACTACGAAGGATATCCTAATAGGTTATATTGCTAGCAAATGGAGTTGCTAATCCCCATTACTGATAATCCCTTCTTTCATTAAAAACAAATGATGGCTAAATGCGGTCCAATGGAAGAAGCTGATGCTATGGCGCTCCAGACCAAAAATAAATCAGAATCCCAATTTACCAGAGGGAAACTTTATACAAAAGTCGTTTGTTTGGGCACCTCTGTCCCAATCGTGTTTCTACCACAAAGCAGTTGTGTTTGTATGGCAGTGTTTCGGTTTGAAGGGTGGCAATGATTTTACAGGATACAGAGGTATAACACCAGAGTCCTCAGAAATGGCAACGTATGGGGGGTATCATGAGCGAAACAGTATACTCTGTTATGTCCATGGTACTGCTCATGTCTATAGGCGACGGTTATCACTTTCCATCGGGTGGGTCGTCAAGTTGCATCAGGTGGGTCGTCAAGTTGTTTGCCATTCTAAGTTGTATAAAAAAATATGTAGTCGAACTTGAGTATTATACAATTGTAATTGATGTGCCGGCGTAATTTTTTTTTCAAAATGACCGCAAAATTGGACTTGCTGGATATATCAACGCCAAGAATTCCCAGACTCGACTTAATTTCAAAAGGAGTGTTTTTAAACTGAAGAGATACGACAAATGGTGTCTTTTTACAATGAATGTGCAGATTTGTGTCTTCTTAGGGTTAAATTATTTCCTTAGCTAGTAAGAAGAAGTTGTATGTGTGTGTGTGTGTGCGTGTGTACGTGCATACGATGTATGTATGTGTATATATGCGTGTATATATGCGTACATGTGTATAAATATTTCTGTTCTGTTGTTGTGATTTTGTACAAGTAGTTGCACACAACTATTTTATATATTTCGTTTTATAGTAATAGATGGCTAACGTCGTTGGTGGCACAAAAGTTATTGATACTTAGATATATATATAGTTATTGCGTCCACTATTTGTTGACCTAAATAAAGAGAAAAAAATAAAGAAATAAAAGTGTAGATATGCAACATTCCATCTCAATTGTCTAGAAGTGATTCTAATTCCATTTGCGGGAATTGACCTAAACTAATTAACTAATATGCTTACATTGTATGTTAAATATAAAGATCCCGTGTCACGATGTTCGTTTATACTAATCACCGAAACCGATGAATATAAATAAATTACGTGCCTATATTGTTTATATATTATATTGTTTAGTCCTACTTGAGAGATAGGGAATTTTTTATCTTGATAAGAAAACGTGTAACCAGTAAGTGACAGTAAGGGGGGGGGGGGGGACAGAACAATGATTTACTGGAACAAATAGTTATTAAATATAATTTGGATAAAATCTAAAGTAAATTCTTAATAAAATATAACTAGGTACACATAGTTATATTTTGTACATAGTGAACACACCTATTTTAATATACATGCCCTCCCTCTCGCATGGCAAGCAAAAACAATTTATAAACAAATAAAACATTGTCTTTCAATACATGTGAAGCAATAAAATACTCAAAATAGAAATAACTTTATATTATAAGAAATTTAATATATTCACAGAACGAGTTCATTCGTGCAAATTATAGTTTTTGTAAGATTTGGACAACGGGAAATGAAAAGCGAAGAAAAAAAAGTGGAACGCCTACTACAAGTTTTAAGCAAAGATTTTGTAATTCCTTTTTCTCTGGTTTTAAGACCATCAAAAAACAATCTTTGATGTTGTCATTTGCTTTTGTCAGGTTTTAAATAGGTGTCACAATACATTCTTAAAAAAAAAAACAACTTAATCTATACAAAACTTATCAGAAAATAATCGTTGTATCATTCTATCTTACCTATAAACTATTCAGAAGCTACCGTAGGTACCTATGTTTTATCCTTAATCTATGCAGAAGCTATGTAAGCTCTTAATAATCGTAATATCTATTATGATACCTATATAATAATTAAATAATTAAAACAATGTAAACACAGCAACCTTATATTCTTATTTATCATAGTTACAACCCTAAGTTACAAACACATGCATGCTTCACTTACATTGTGGTTTATAAGGACGTTATTCCAAGTCTATTATATTAAATTTTAAACTTTCATAATGTATATTTTATGGTTTATAAGAAACAGCAATTATGCGATAATTTAGGTAAACTAAATTCAGGTAAATTATCATTTCCATTAATTCTCTCTAATTCTGATAAACGTTTTAGGAAAGATTTTGAATAAAGAACAAAAATTCTAAAATCTTTATCTTTCAAGTTACTATACTTGGCAAATAATTATAATGAAATAAAAATGTATTCTATATTGTAATGGTCCTGTATACATACAGTTGACTTAAGAAAGTTATATTATACGCGAATCTTTAGGTTAAAGTTAAAGACTAAAGATGCATCAATTGCCGTCAGTTAGATAAAGAAAACTAAGCAGTTTCCATAAGAATAAATAATCTGGCTAGAATTGACACTCATGTACCTTTTTTTTTTTTAAATGGATAACAATTCAATGGATATTGTCCGATTTGGTCATTGCAATCATCTATTTAAAAACCTACCACTTTCAACTTTACCTATCATCAACCACTAATACCACTCTCTGCCTGCTTTCGGAGTTTCAATGATCATTATAAAAACAGTCATGAAAAAAAATAACTATAAGGTAGAAAAAGAGGAAATAGTAGGTAACTCCCCGAATAAAAAACCGAAACACAAAAACGATGACAGCCTCAAGTGGGTTGTCACCCCCAATCAGTGTATACAGCAAAGTATCTCAAGACTTGGTCAGGAATATCTAACCAATCTACACAAAACCTCCTTTTATCGTTATGTTGCCCAGCCTGATTTTCAAAATGGAAACGAATAGGTTTATAATTATGTTATAGTTTAATAGTGAATAATGTGGAAATTATATATTTATAATGTCAAATTACATGGTCCAATGAACTTTTTTTTTTATTAAAAATGAAACAAAAGATGACATTCATTAAATATATTTATTATTTTATACAATGTTACCTTGACATTTAAATTTTGTAATTTTATTGATAATAATATATTTATTAATAATAATAAACACAAGTTTCTAATACAATATTTGGGTAATTTCTAGAGTAGACCTAGTAATATAGTCAATATTAATTATTAGTTAAGTTGTAACTAATCGTTGAGATATTGTTTTTTGACCAAATCCATACATTAAAAGCTAATATGGTAGTTACGCAAGGCTGACCCCCAATGAAATTAAATTTTTGCTTATGGCGGCTAAACGACGAATACGGATTAGCAGGAGTGTCAGTTCTAGTTAATCTTACATAGTTGCTTTGTCTCCATCATAAGCCGACATAGAGCAGTAATGTTCATAAGTAATGACCGTTTACGGACTTTATGAGTAAATTAATGGTAACTCGGTTTATTTTTTATTGTCTATTGCTATTTCAAAAATATTATTCATTCTTTTTAGAAAATATAAGGTATGGCAGAGGTCCATCATGTGTTGTTTCACTATTAATTTGTGGGTCCAGCAATTCATAGATAATGAATTATAATATTCTGGTAAGTAAATTGTTTTTGGTTGTTGTAGGTTATAGATAATAAAAGTTGTCGTTCGTTTATGTCCCGTCACTCGAGCAAATAATTATATTTATAAAAGCTATGCAACCACTTCATTGAAATTAAATATTATACGGTAGTTATTTTATGATACCTATCGATATTTTTAACAAAGAATATCAAAAATAGTTGTACAATATTATATATATTAATATACTTTATTGCATTAATACGTCTTTAGATGCAAAGTTTATATTTTCGGTTTGTTATTTTAAGGACAGGGCCGACTCCTAAAAACGTAGTATTTATTTACTCTGTGGTCTGATCTGTTTGACATTTGTTTTGGCAACTTTTCCCGCTAGTATAGATAACTGAAACTAGTGAAATCTGTTGACGTTTACATATTTCGCGATGAAACTAATCTTATAAAAGTAAAATAAATGTGTTGCTTTCAATATAGTGGCTAAAATAACTTTGTAAGTTTAACCAAATCATTAAAAGTAAGTGTCAAATAGCTATCACTTCCGTTCACAACAGGAAAAGGAAGTGTTATGGCGACAGCATGGTAATTTAGCTTTGAACACAACATCCTTATCCTGTTACTTTTAATCAATAAAGTAATGGCGCAAAAGTGTAAAACCACTTTTGTATTATGCTCCATCATCAACAAAAACCAATTAGAAAATACAATTAAACCTATTCAATTACTTCATTGTATATGTATGTAGGGAGAACTAGATATAATGTATTATTTAAAGTATATCTTGTCTACATAGTAATAAATATAGTCTTGTCTGTAAATAATAACATTGGTTTAAAATTTTTATTAAAATTTTCTTTTAATGGTACCTATGCACTATGAGAAAAGTAATGGAGAAATTGTTTTCACTTATATACAGAGATCTTCATAGAGTAGTGACTTTATAGGGAAAACTACCTATAATATTTAAGTAATTTATATATCTGTTATATATAATTAAAATGTATATATAACATATTAGAAACCCTATTATATTCTCAGTAATTTTTGAGATTCGAAAATCAATATAAAATGTTAAATTTTAGGTGTAGGTTCAGCAGTGCAGCAGTATGACTACTGATCTGTGCACGGAAGATGTCGTAGTCCAGATCACAGCTCCACACATCATCTCGGTATGTGAGTTACCGCAGGGACATTTTCTCTAATATATAATCTGTTCAAGTGACACCTAGGGACAAGTAAGTTGGGTACTTGTTTCAATAAGTCCTTAGGTACCTATGTTTTTAGCTCAGCAATTGGACTTCAACTAAGAATAAAGTGTCATCATCATCATTATATCAGCCACTAACTGTCCAATGCTGAACACAGGTCTTCTAGGGGGGTTTTGCCAGTAATTGCCACGCGTGGCTGGTGAGTTGGGAAATGCAGTTTGACTTGGTGATATTTTGAGAGGGACGTTGCTGCTCATCCCTTGACCATTAAGTTCCCTTAGTTGCTTTTTATGACACCCACAGGAAAGGAAGGAGTGGCCAATTCTTTGCTAGGACCACATGGCTATAAAAACGTATTTCACTGTAACTAATCAAGTTACATTTAAATGTGTGCGAGTACATAAAGACTTGATAGAACAAGTGTTTTGAGAAATAACTAATTTTGCTAGGTTCTGTGGCTACTATAACTAACCACATAATTTATAAATATTTATATATGCTTATTTTAATATATTTATACAAATATAAATATAACGACAGAATGTGATTTACACTAGTATCCGGAGTATGATTGAGATTAGCTTCTATTGTTTTTTTTTTATACAACTTAGAATGGTAAACAAGCTGACGGTCCACCTGTTGTTGTAATAGTCGACAGCTTCCCTCAGTTGTGCACTACTCTCTGATAATATGAGGTTATCATACTGCTATGCGGATCAGGTTGTTTAGTAGAGGGTTTTATTTGAAATAGGTTTTATTTTATCATGAATAATTCAATTTATTCTCAGTCACATTTTATGTCAAATTAATAATTTATTACTACATGGACACATTGAGATTAATATATTAATATTTCATCTTGCAAGTGATATGACATAGAGAGGCACTGTTAGAAGTTTTTATATACTAAGAAATATTAAACAACATGATATTAATACTTTGTATTTTATTCTTGGCTCTTTCCATCTGTTCTGCAAGGGGTTCTTTATGAAAGAAGACAAATGTATAAAACTTTCTTGTCTGCACATTAGCCGGAGACGGAGGCGAGTCAGGGCGGCGGCGGCGGCGGCGGCGGCGGCACCCGGACAGCAGGCGCGGCGGGTGGCGGCGGCGAGGGCGGCGTGCCGCGCGTGGTGAAGCTGGGGCGGCGGCTGCTGCTGGCGGCGCGCGCCGGCGACACGGCGCTCGTGCTCGAGCTGATGGCCGAGGGCGCGCCGTTCACCACCGACTGGGTGCGTATAGGTTGCGTGCGATGTGTTGTGGTGTGGCGCGGTGTAGCGCGGTGCTGACGCGTGGCGTGTGACGTGCGCAGCTGGGCACGTCGCCGCTGCACCTGGCGGCCAGCAACGCGCACGTGGACACGTGCGCCGTGCTGCTGCGCGCGGGCGTGTCGCGCGACGCGCGCACCAAGGTGGAGCGCACGCCGCTGCACCTGGCCGCGTACGCGGGCCACGCGGCCGTGGCGCGGCTGCTGCTGCGGCACGGCGCCGCCGTCGACTGCCGCGACATGCTGCGCATGACGCCGCTGCACTGGGCGGCCGAGCGCGGCCACGCCGCCGTGGCGGCGGCGCTGCTGCAGCACGGCGCCGACCCGCGCGCGCTGTGCAAGTTCCGCCGCACGCCGCGCCAGCTGGCCGCGCGCCGCCGCCACGCGCACCTCCTCGCGCTGCTGGACGCCGCGCCGGCCGCCTCCACCGCCGCCGCCGCCGGTCAGTGTCTACACAACATAAAACAATACAAATGTACTACTTATATATACTTATTATGTTCCTTCTTTCTTTTTTATATAACAAAGCACACATATATTTATTATAACATGGTTTTCTTTACTAATATTTATATCCAAATATAAACATAATATGTATACGAAAATGTATTACATATATTTATTATATAGGTACATCAGAAAACGTTACTCCCAATTCAAATTTAATAAATCAACTTGATCTCGGGAATCTTAATCCAATTATTTGCGCAACACTGAAATTAAATGGCGCGTATTGTTTTGGTTAAAAAATATGTATAAAATTAAGTCAGCCAAATGACAATTTAGCTAACTAAATATTAACACATTTTGAAACTCAATGCTCTATCTATATAGTTAATCTTTACCTATTTTTAAATAAATATTTCCTTTATTGCCTTCTGTTTCTGAATTCCAAAACTTTATCCATATGTTTCAGATGAAATCCTGGAAGAAAATGAGGAGCTGCATTCACAGGAGTTCCCCACGTTACAAAGTAATATCAACAGTAGATGTAATACTAGATGTAAATGAGAATAATATAGATAAACCCCCTCATTGATTAAAAAAAGGTTAAAACCTCCCTTAAACCAATTTTAGCTATTGAACTATTTTGTTTTTCTTTTGTGTTAAATTTTCCGTTTGAATTTGACAAAACAGTGTAATAGTTAAAGTAAGTTTACAGGAATTTTTAGTTTTATAAATAAGGGAGATAACAAAATATGTTTTTAGGGATATCAGAAATTAAAACCAATATGTCGATGCCGAAGATACAAGAGGAAGCTATGAAGACAGAGGAAAATTGCGAGGTCAGTATATGTAGTCGGTACGACTTGAAATTTTAAAAATTATATATTAATATAATAGATCAATTTACAATTTTATATTCCATTGTATTAAACCAAATATATTTTAAATATAGCTACTTACAACTCTCACAACCTTATACAGAATTCAATAGATTAGATAATCACTGAGTAAATTAGACAGTCGACATACATAAATAGTACATTTACAGGCCATCGCAGACTATCTATTAAAAGGAAAAACAATCTGAAATCAATAAGTTTCAAACTTTATTTACAATTGTGTATGTAGTAATAATAAAGTAATTGGAAATAGGAAAACAAGCTGAAATCAATGCGATAAGCGCTCGAACGTTCTAAATACTTTAAACGATCCAGTAGTGTTGAAAATGGAAGCCTCCGTAGTGTACGGCAGCACAAACTGCCACAGTACCGATTTCTAGTCATGATTTTTTAGGCGAACGAATCTCATAGCACGAGCGGAGGGAACGACGCGGACGAAGGAGGAGGAGGGGGCGGCGGTGGAGGAAACGAAAGCGAGACGGCGGCGGCGGCGCTGCTGCGGCGGCACGGCATCACGCTGCTGCCCACCGACGACGGCAGCACCGTGCTGTCCGCGCTGCAGAGTGGACGCACCGTCGTGCTGTCCGGTACTGCCCCCCCCCCCACACACACAACCCGTCCTTTGCACACCTCACCCACGGGCAATTCCGAGCCTCTTTTATTGCAAAATTTTATTTGAAATATTTCGAATTACCAGGAGTACGAAAACGTTTATGGAGACGCGACTTGTCCGTTTTTCTTTCGGATTTGAGCAAAATTCCACGCGTTTCTTGAGAGAGTGCAAGATGTAAACATGCACAACCGACTCGTTCTTTTGTAGGCCATCACCTCAACATTCAATCCATTCAAATTTGTCATGAAAGCCCGACACACGTACCTCTCACATCCATTTAACTAGTAAGCTACGAGAAAGCCCATTTACAGTATCAACTATGAGAACATCGATCAGTTGTAATTATTTCTTTCATCGTCGCAGACGCGGGAAAACTAATGTTAAAAGAAAGCGGAGAGAAGACGCAGCCGACGACGCCGGCTGCGTCGAGCAAGCTCGCGGGGCAACAGAAGGGCGTCGTGCTAACTGCGACGCCGGTCAAGACGCCGCCCAAGCCGGGCGTCAAGATATTCACTATCAACAACAAGCTGCTCGCCATCCCCAAGGATAACAACAAGTTACCCATCAAGAAGATAATAAACCCACAGGATATGCAGGTCATTATTTTTACACCATGAATTGTGACTAAAAATTGCGCCTCTGACACGTGGGCGGCGATCACAAGGCTTCGATGTGTTTAGTAAGATTTTATGTAAATACACAGATCGTGAACGTGGATGGCACGCAGGTGAAGTTCGTGCAGCTGGCCGCGGACGCCAAGATCGTGTCGCCGCGGAAGCCGGTGCAGCTTAAGGCGAAGGCGAAGCTCGCGCCGCGCCCGCCCGTCAAGATCATCATGAACAAGGCCAACTACGACAGGCTCGTCGCCGGCGCCGCGCCGTCCGCGCCGTCCACGCCGGCCGCGCCGGTTACGCTCCAGGTAACAGCCTCCTCTACTTAATGAGACAATGACGTCGCAAATAGGACGGCCGGCGACCGCAAAACGGTGCCGTAATAGAAAGAAAAAATATTTGTATTCAAGTAAACTTAGATTTAAGCATTTTTATTAAACGGTTTTATTTAGCTCGACCTGTACGGTATTTATTTATTTGGGTCAAAATTAGAAATTGGAATTTAAGCACCTTCCCGTTGTCAGATTGATCTGAAATTTGGTACACACATTTAATTTAGATGACAATACAATATAATAAAATCAATAACATTATAAATCTAAGATGGCCGCCGATACAAAATGGCGGATTACATATTTTTCCTCAACCCCCGCAATATGGGTATCAAATGAAAGGGCTACACTAGTAAAACACGATGATTATGTCAAAATTTAAAATTCAAGATGGACGCCGTTCCAATATGGCGGACTAGGTACATATTTTTCCACAACCACCACAATATGGGTATCAAATAATAGGACTACACTGAGACACCCAGACACTAGACACTCGGACACTAGACACTCAGACGCTAGACCCTCAGACACTAGACACCCAGACCCTAGACACACAGACACTAGACACTCGGATACAAGACACTCAGACACTAGACACTCGGACACTAGACACTCAGACACTAGACACTCGACACTCGACACTCAGACACTAAACACTAGACACTAGACACTAGACACTCAGACACTAGACACTAGACACTCGACACTCGACACTCAGATACTAAACACTAGACACTAGACACTCGACACTCAGATACTAAACACTAGACACTAGACACTTCGACACTCGGATACAAGACACTCAGACACTAGACTCTCAGACACTTGACACTCAGACACCCAGACACTAGACACTCAGACACTAGACACTCAGACACTAGACACTCGAAACTCAACACTCGACACTCGACACTCGACACTTAGACACTAGACACTCAGACACTAGACACTCGGATACAAGACACTCAGACACTAGACTCTCAGACACTTGACACTCAGACACCCAGATGTTAGACACTCAGACACTAGACACTCGACACTCGACACTTGACACTCGACACTCGACACTCGACACTTAGACACTAGACACTCAGACACCCAGACACTAGACACTCAGACACCCAGACACTAGACACTCAGACACTAGACACTCGGATACAAGACACTCAGACACTAGACTCTCAGACACTTGACACTCAGACACCCAGACACTAGACACTCTGACACTAGACACTCGACACTCGATACTCGACACTCGACACTTGACACTCGACACTCGACACTCGACACTCAGACACTCAGACACTCAGACACTAGACACTCAGACACTAGACACTCGGATACAAGACACTCAGACACTAGACTTTCAGACACCCAGACACTAGACACTCGAACACTCGACACTCGACACTCGACACTCAGACACTAAACACTAGACACTCAGACACAAGACACTCAGACACTAGACACACATCTCACCAGATGGATGGTGATGATGTGGTCTTAGACGAAGCTTGTGGACCCGAGAATAGCCTATTCACAATTGCTTTAAATTAGTTGTGATTATTTTTAAACGGTTTTATTTATAATTAAACGGTTTTATTATTAAACGGTTTTTTAAACGGTTTTATTTAGCTCGACCTGTACGGTATTTATTTATTTGGGTCAAAATTAGAAATTGGAATTTAAGCACCTTCCCGTTGTCAGATTGATCTGAAATTTGGTACACACATTTAATTTAGATGACAATACAATATAATAAAATCAATAACATTATAAATCTAAGATGGCCGCCGATACAAAATGGCGGATTACATATTTTTCCTCAACCCCCGCAATATGGGTATCAAATGAAAGGGCTACACTAGTAAAACACGATGATTATGTCAAAATTTAAAATTCAAGATGGACGCCGTTCCAATATGGCGGACTAGGTACATATTTTTCCACAACCACCACAATATGGGTATCAAATAATAGGACTACACTGCAGAATACTGTCATTATGTCAAAATTTCAAATTCAAGATGGACGCTGTTACAAAATGGCGTATTAGGTGGGGGCATGATTCGTCGTATCGAGAACAGTTGCGTCTAAGATTGTGTGACGTTAGAGGGGCAGATAAAAAAAAATAGGTAATTAGATACCTCGTTAGTAAGCGGTAGTTATACCACCCAAGTTAAGGTAATAGGTTAAAACGTGCCGAGGACTGTATGGCATTAGGGTGGATAAAAATGTAATGTCGTAAGCGCTTCCCCCTCAAGATTGGGCGCATCTTGTTGTATATTAAGCCTTGCCCCTTTACTGGACTGCGGGGGGGGGGGGGGTCGACCGTCAAAATGCCCCTTAATCGTGGGAACAACATGGTAACAATAAACAAAAAATACCAACAAATATAAATAAGACTGGAGGCTTACCATCAGTACTTGAAATATTTGTAGGTGCAAAAGTAATGTTGCAGTCCAACATTGACGTTACAAAAGGATTGGAAAATGACGCTATAGGCCACATTACAGAAATTTTTCGGCCTCAGTTCCGTCGAACCCAAATGTACGAAACAGATATATCATCAGTTTTAATTGACTTTGGCACAGACGGCATGCACGTTATTTACCCTAAAGCCATACAGTTTCCAGCAAAATTCAATTATGGTACGGCTGAAAAAAGGATGTTACCCTTAGTTTTGTCATGAGCATTCACCGTCTATAAAATGCAGGGCAGCACCGTCGACCATACAGTAGTATATTTGGGCTCAAAATGGTTTGAGGAAGGAAAAGCATACGTGGCTCTAAGTCGAGTCAAGTCTCTGGAAGGGCTATGTATTGAGGAATTAGATTGTACTAAATTATCAGGTAAGAAACCATGTAATAATGATGCACTGAATGAATTAAATAGAATGAGGAATATTTGGTAAACAATTTCACTAAATACTAAAAACAAGAAAATAAAAATCGGTAAAAAAACTTTTAAGTTAAACGGTTTTATTTTATGTGCACTGAAAACTACAAAATAAATAAATAGTTACTTACCTATCAACCTACGTAGGTGATCTCGGTCATTAATATCTCTGATGGTAGTGGTTGTCATAACATGAACCATGTCAGCGGCCGAAAGGCTGTTCATGAGAGAACACTAACACCAGGGTTTGCTTGGTAGGTAAACTAAGCAGCCCACACTATAACAAGTAGGTATTTTGACCTTCTAGTTCAGAAATATTTTAGTACTAGGCAGAATAGCTTTTAGGCATATTAGACTAAAATAAAAACGTGGGGCCCCTCTGAAATCATACCTATAGCAGAGCATATCTTATACTTTGGTAGATCATGAGTTCGGCGTTCGCTGGTGAAGCCGTAACGGCTGGTTATTGATGGTCAAAACCTCCAGCTACGATTATAGTAAGTCGATTCAGCGGACCCTGGACTCCGGAGCTATGAGGTTTCGGATGCGACCGGGATAAACCGCTAGGATGATGATGATGACGATTATAATAAGTCGATGCAATCCACAGTATAGTAGAAAGTAATACAGAAATAGTTAATGGGCCCCACGTTTTTATTTTAGTCTAATATGCCTAACAGCTATTCTGCCTAGTACTAAAATATTTCTGAACTAGAAGGTCAAAATACCTACTTGTTATAGTGTGGGCTGCTTAGTTTACCTACCAAGCAAACCCTGGTGTTAGTGTTCTCTCATGAACAGCCTTTCGGCCGCTGACATGGTTCATGTTATGACAACCACTACCATCAGAGATATTAATGACCGAGATCACCTACGTAGGTTGATAGGTAAGTAACTATTTATTTATTTTGTAGTTTTCAGTGCACATAAAATAAAACCGTTTAACTTAAAAGTTTTTTTACCGATTTTTATTTAGGCAATGTATTAACCTGGTCCAACACACCACCACCTGTCTGGTCATTTTAGTGGAACATGACTTAGTCAAGGCACTCAACCATATCATATCCAAATTAAAATAATTTCATACTACATAACAGTATTCATACACACAACAAAAGGCATATGTAAATTAATAAAAAATAATAAAACCGCTACACAATCTTATTTTGCTTCGATTCAAACAAACCTCTTTCGTTTCATCCACATTCATCAATCTTTTCATACACACTCGCCGGTTACGGGTACTTTTAATTTGGCCCTTAATAAGCATTATTAAGCCCTATTTGGTCGACATACGTCCGCTAAGGCGGCCCCTACCGACATCTCCATTCGTTCTTGCTCGATAAATCTCTTTCGTAATCCTTCTTTCATCTATCCTCGCCAAATGGCCAAACCAACGCAACATTCCCTTTCCGATTTTTATTCCTACATCGTCTTTCAGTCCACACTTCTCTCTAATCACACTGTTTCTTACTCTATCTTTTAATGTAATAGCACACATAATTCACAGACCTCTCATCTCTATAGCATTTATCTTACTTTCATACTTCTTCTGCCACGATTCGCTTCCATACATGAGTGTTGGTGTCAGTACTCCTTGAATTATGGCGAGGCGAGCTTTGCTCGATACATTTTTGCTTGCCATAATCAAGAGCAGTGCACCGTTAACACTGTTTCCCGCTTTCACTCTCAATTCAATATCTCTCTCACACTTTTCATCCCTCGTAAACAATGAACCCAAATGTAGAAACTCACTTGCTTAAATTTTTCATCTATCATTATCTGGCATTCCGCTAAGCTTTCATTCCTCTCAAAAACCATCACCTTCGTCTTCGTAGCATTTATTTTTTACGTTTTCTTGCATATGCTTCATTCATTACAGTCACCATTTGTTGTAATTCATGCTCCGACGATGTAAGCAGTAATTGATCGTTGGCGTATAAGATTCTTCTTTTTTTTACGCTACTTAGTACTTTTTTTAGTTTTTTAGCTTGGCACTTTCCATCAGGTGGGCCATCAGCTTATTTGCAAGTCTAAGTTGCATAAAAAAATTTCAACTGTTATAATATAACATTATTTCACTTCATAACAGTATTACATATGACATCATGCTGTGGAAATAGCTAAAGTTTAACAGTTACTACATCCGTTAATTGCCTAATTCTTTTAACTGCATATGCAGCTGACTTAAGTCTACTAGTTAATTTACAAATATAGACACTCCGTTGCAACTTATATAGATTGTGATATCTAAAAATACGGTGTCGTTATTGTCCAAAACTATATAATGGATCCACTTGCCTTACATTATGAAGAATAAATTTAATAGAGTTTTGGAAGCATTACAAATTATAAGCAAGAAACTATTTTAGAATAGAAAAAAGAGCTCTATTTGCTCCGTCCAAATTTTCAGTGATGTCTAGCTTTAAATATTAACGAAGTATCATCAGCAAATAGAACTATAATCGCTATTTTCTCTGCCGTAAAAGGGAGGCCATTTATGAAAATTAAAAATAGAGGGTTTAAAATTAATCCTTGATGAACATCCATTTTGACTTGACCTCTTTTAGATTTTATATCGTTTATTTTAAACTGATTGCACTCTGTCATTTGAGTAAGATTTCATTATCTTTAAGGTTTTATTTGTAATACCGTAATGTTCAAATTTGTGTAAGAGTGTTATATGATTAATTTAATCAAATGCTTTTGGTAGATAAAATACTCTTATAGCATTTTGAGATTTTTTCCAAGATTCAGTAATGTGTTTGTTGTATGTGGAACTTCAAATAATAAAGTTCTTAAATGTTAAATAAATGTTTTTAATGTTATGTTAATTATTAATGTTAATGAATGCACGTTACGGCGACGGACACGGCACTCTCGTTTTTGGGTCAAACGCATCGATATAACTCGATGAGTTTGACGTCATTGCTTGGTGTCAATTATCTATGCACCGAACAGTGTTGAAATGACATGCGTCAATTGTAGATTTATTTGCAGTAAAATTAATTTGTAGACCGTGAAGCAGTCCATTTTCATTGAAGTGTTGAAGTTGAAGTATTTGATTAAGCATCTCTTCAAGTCATGCTGGCAAGATAGATATAGGTCTGTAATTGCCTAGTTCTGATTTTTCCCTCTAACTTGAAATAGTGTACTGAGTTAACCAAGTATCAAGAGTATCGACGAACGTAGCGGTGACTCCGACAGACTTGTCTTAGTGTAATTGTTTTGGCAGCCGAGCGCGGGTACGGGCGCGGCGGAGGGTGCGGAGGGTGCGGAGGGTGCGAGGGGTGCGGATGGTGGTGCGGAGGCGGAGGGCGAGGAGGAGCGGACGCGGCTGCGCACGCAGCTGGCGGCGGCGCGGCGCGCGGTGGCGGCGGCGCTGTCGGCCGAGCTGGCCGCCTGCCGCGCCCGCCTCGCACGCATCGAGCGGCCGCACTGACCGCTCGCCCCGGGACCCGCTCCTCCATACTGTGATACGCGACACTACTAGCGGAGGGCGAGGACGAGCGGACGCGGCTGCGCACGCAGCTGGCGGCGGCGCTGTCGGCCGAGCTGGCCGCCTGCCGCGCCCGCCTCGCACGCATCGAGCGGCCGCACTGACCGCTCGCCCCGGGACCCGCTCCTCCATACTGTGATACGCGACACTACTAGCGGAGGGCGAGGACGAGCGGACGCGGCTGCGCACCAGCTGGCGGCGCTGTCGGCCGAGGTGCCCGCCTGCCGCGCCCGTACTGACTAGTCGCACCGGGACCTACTCCTCGATACTGTGATACGCGACACACTACTAACAGGGAACCGTGCCGAACAGGTTCCGAACTGACAGTGACTTTTTTACTTTTGTATCTGTACCTATAGTTCGTAGTAGATCGATTTTTGAAACGAAACTCAGCCATTTCGGTTATTTTTGCGACAATATACGTAGTAGATATAAATCTCACTTGCGGCAAATTTAAACTTCGTTTAGGTGGATGAGTAGAAAATCAAAGACCACTCTCCTTCTTAGAGCATTCCTCAAAAGATGTAATTTACAAAAAGCTCTCGCTTCTGCTGAGATAGTAAAATGTATCGACTAAGTCTTATTCCTACAATTAGTAGAGAGTTCTTCTAGATAAATATTATATGACATAGTATTTCCAAGATTTAATGCTCTAAGACCGGATAGTATAATATCATTGTATAGTATTATTGTTGATAAATAAAAACAAATTACAAGAGCGTGTGGTTTGATTTGGCGGCGGCGGGCGGCGGCGGGCGGCGGCGGGCGGCGGCGGGCGGCGGCTAGCAGTCGCGGCGCTGCGCGCGCGCAGTGAGCACGTCCCGGAACTGCGCGAGGATGGCGTTCTCGCGCTTGGCGCGCTCCTCCTTGCTGAAGGCCGCGAGCGCGCGCTTCTCGTCCGCCGAGTAGATCTGGTTCTCCTTGCGGATACGCACCGCCTCCATGCGCCGGTGTCTGGAAACATACATATCCACTACTACAACAGTTCAGTTACTAATTGCGCATCAATCTCTACACATATAAATTTAGTTTCACTTTTGATTTTTACCCTATACAAGTATACACCAATATTTTTTAAATACCTCGGGGTCCTTCTTTTATCAAAGGACGCCTCACTGGAGAGACCTACATAGATGTGCTCCGCGAAATGATAGCATCAATGCTTGACGACATACCGCTGTCAAACTTACGTGGCTTGTGGTTCCAACAAGATGGTGCACCACCACCCTGCCGCAGCACAGTGCGTGACTACCTAAATACAGAATTCGGTAGTCGATGGATAGGGCGAGGTAGGCCGATCGCGTGACAAGATCTCCAGACCGCACACCCATGAACTTTTATTTCAGGGGTGAGATTAAGGACAAATTGTATGTAAATGGCTCATTTACATACAATCGATACCCGTGAAATATCACTTTTTTTCATTTAAATATAATCTACAAAGCAAAAAATCAAACTCGAAACGACAGCGCGACTATATACCGCATATGTATATTAAGCATAGATACATCTTTCGCGCCGGCAACTTAGGACATTGCCCTCCTTTCGACGTGGATTCGTAGTGAAATGTACGGTGGCCATAACTTTATCAAGACTTGAAACCAAAGGACCTTATATATCTTGGTTACATTTTAAAATACTAAATATTCAATGGCACATATTAATTAGTGCAACTTTTCAGTGGGTGCCACTAAATATTTTATGGTATTTAAAATATATTGGTGTAGAGCAGAATACAAAGATCCCCCTACGGACAGGAAGCGGGTCATACCTGCTGCCACTCATGACGTAGCCCACGGCCTCGTAGGAGGCGATCTCGTCGGAGGTGAGGCCGATCTCGCCACGGCGCGGGATGCGCTTGCCCTCGGCCACGTAGGCGGCCATGGCGGCGCCCTCGCCCGGCAGCAGCGCGCGCCCGTAGTCGCGGGCCGCCAGCGCCGCGCCCGCCCGCGGCCGCGGGCCCGGCTCCTCCTCCTCCCCTGCCCCTCCGCCGCCGCCTCCTCCCCCAGACACGGGCCCGCGGCTAGCCACACCCACCGTCTCCACTTCTTCTGTAAATAACATCCTTAGCTTAGTCACACTGTAAATGTTCACTATGATTGATGCGTCCCATATGGGATAGAGAACATCGTAGGCTACTTTTAGCTCTGTCCATGATAATAATTGTTCATTAATCAATAGTAGTAACTGTTAGCTATCTATTTGTATGATAAATGCATTAAAGCTCATGTTATACATATTTAACTCACACCTGAACATTTTTAATATATCTCGTCTTCAATGTAAATAAATACAGTAAATTGTGAAATTATTTCCATATAAAAACCAATATTGACTTACTTCCTTTCTCCACCCACACTTCTTCTTCAGAGCTAGAGTCGGAGTCACTACTAGAGTTTCTTGATTTTCGTTTTGCTTTTTTCCTAGCCTTTTTCACTTTTTTTAATTTCTTTTTCAATTTTTTTAACTTCTGTTTTGTATCTTTAGAGTCCTTTGATTTTTTACTTTTCTTTTTTTCTTTGCTATTATTTGCCTTATCTGGCTGTGATGTCTCTTCTTCTGAACTGAAAAGTAGATAATATGTATATATATTAATTTAAATCCTTGCCCTTTTTGTATACTCACAAGTATGTTTTGATATAATATTATAATAAAAATAATTTATAATACATATTAAAATAAAATTATTATGTTAATATTATTTACTGTTTTGTGACATCACAATAAGTAAAGAAGAAACATAATTATGTATGTTATCCTTGCTAATAGTATAAATATGGAAGGGAGTTGGTTTTTTTTTTACCTTACAGTGCCTTAAAGGTTTAGCCAATCACTATGAAATTTGGCATACTCATATGATAGAGAAAGATATATATATAGGCTACCTTTTATCTCACTCAGTTAACATATTCTGTTCACAGAGGAAGTTTTGAAGAAAAGCTGGTTATCACATAAAACTGGCTTTTTCAAATTATTTATTGAAAGAAAACTTGTATTTATGGAGAAAATTGATAAACAGATGACATTACATTATAAATATTATATTATGGTTAATAACAGTACTCACTCAGGCCTCGTAGGTGACTTGCCCCACACTGAGGATACACCAACTTGCCCAATTCTCTCCCTTTCCTCTCGTCTTGCATCTAAAAATTCTTCTTCCTGTGGTTTGTATCTACCTCTTGGTCCTATATTGCCACTGCTGCCTAAACCTATTATATGCATACAGAACTGATTATTAACAATTGTAATACATTAACATATCTAATCTCTTCTTTTAAGGAGGAAAATTATTATTATTAATGGAGATTGACAATCCCATTACTAACAATATACTCAGTCAGGTTGATCTCCATTTAGAAATCATCATGATTAACTCTTGATGAATTTGTCACAATAAGCAAACTGACCTGCCTTCATGCTCGCCTATCAACCCTCACTGTTCTCCATCAACATATACTAATAGTACACACAGAGTTTGATGCCTTAATGACTATTGATTTCTATGATATTTTGTATACACATACTACATAGAATGGAAAAGGACATAGGCTTTTTTTATCCTGGGCAATAAATATAACTCAGTTACATAATAATAATGAAAAAGAACAATACCTCCACCAAGACCACCTCCAGAGTACTCCTTGTATGTGGTGTGGGCGCGGCTCTTGTCGCGGTCCTTGCTGTAGTCCCTGTGACGGTCGCGGCCGCGCTCATGTTCCCTGTGCCGTTCGCGGCGCTCGCTGTCCCGACCCCGGTGCCGGTCGCGGCTGCGACTGCGGCTCCGGCTCCGGCGGCGGTCGCGATCACTGCTGTGGCGGCCACGCTCATGATCTCCTGCCATTGTACCTCTACACAATCTTCTTACATACCACAAAGTACAATATTTTTATCATAGCCTTGTCAAGCTACAAGTAAATAAACAGTAAGCCAGTTGCTTATCACTGTAAGGTGCATTGTCTTCTTTTTTAATATCATACCTAAATAAAGTTTATATTTTCATCACAGGAAAGATTATGATAGCGTACCAAAATCACGACCACAAATTACAATCCATACGCGAGGCAATTTAATGTCTTTATAAATCACAAATCACTGAGCACTTGATTGATAGTTACCTTTCGTTACAAATTCACAATCACAATTTAAAAAAATATATACCTATACTAAAATCATAAATTTAATTAATGTACATGAATAAGGTTTAAAAACAATATTTCAACGTGTTGTTTTTATCTTGCTTGTCAGTCACAAACACAGATTAGAAAGATTATGGTCACAGATTAGAAAAATTATTTGTCAGTTGTCTAGGGTTGCCAGATGATTGAGACTTGATTTTTACCCTAACATTAAATGTTTTTCTCCTAACCAATTGGATTTCCGAAACTAATATCTAATCACAAATTTGTGTCCTTTTTCACAATACGTTTTGCCATATGCCACAAAGTGAACGTCGAAAAAGTCATTCCTTCTTTCTCTACTCTTCCCTTTTTCTTGCTTTATTCTATTCTCTGTTTTACTATTCATTTATTCATTTTACTGCGTTAATATACCTCTATATATTTTACAGGTACCAAAAGTCTCTAAAAAAGTACTAAAGATTATCCAAACCTATTTCATTTATTCCAAAAAATTCTTCAAAATTTTGAGTATAGTAAAACTTTTACTAAAAATTACAAAAATAAAACTCAATTTGGCAGTACTGGATGTTGACATTTAAGACCTATATAAAACTTTGTATATACTGATCGAGAAAACGGAAGGAAGAACTATCTACGCAAATAATTAAATGAACACTATACTTTAGAAATGCATACGTTTACTAATGTCGTTTATATAAGAGGATCAAGAAAAGTTTCCGTCTATGATTAAACCTAGGTTTTTTTTTTATTATTTTATTATTATTTATTAATTCTCAAAACCAATTGAAAAATTTTCAATTTATATAAGTATAATGTATACTATTACATTACATATTATATATAATGACTTGGAGAAATTTGGGTTGGACAAAATAACTAAGACACATGTGTTCTCTTTAATCTGTGTTGTCTAAGGTTACCTACAGTTTCTCTAATCTGTAGCGTTATCTATATAAAATTGACAATACTGCTACACGAAAAAAGCGCGGGAAACGTTTAAAAAAGCGGGAGTGTTTTTTGATCTTCTTTAAATTAATTTTATTTTTAATTATATAAGGATTAGTTTTATTTATATATTGTGTATTAGATTGTATATATAATTGTATATTTTGTAGTAATAGTGTTTGTTGCTGTAAATATTGGTAAGTAAATTACCTATATTAATTAGACATTATGGATCCACCTATAGACCCTGGGGGGACAACCCCCCAGGTGTCTGCAAATATAACTATCCCATTTAATAATAGTTTTGATATATTGGGTGAATCTAGTATGGACACAGATGGTTCTAGCGTTGCAAGTTCTAAACGTAAGCGAGTACGTGGCGAACGTCGCATTTGCAAACATTGCAATAAAAAACGAAGGAGGCACACCAAAGGTCTCGAATCTAAAATTAAAGATAGTGATTGTCAATGTATTGAGGATGAGAATCAAACTCTAGTATCAATACCAGTTGTAAATAATACCGAGTCTGTTAAACCTGCTTCTCCACCCAGTACTTTAAGCAGAACTTTGTACAATGCCGAGGATGTAGCTCCTTATGTCGTTCATGTACAAAAAAATGAAACACATCCTAATGATAACACTACATTACATCCTATTGCATTTGGTCGCTTTTTACACACTAATAAGATAAATAATATAGTGAATGGTAGCCTCAAAAGAATAGGAAGAAACCGTTTATCGCTTTCTTTCTCAAATTTTGAAAATGCAAATGCATTTTTAAATAATAGTCACTTAGAAACACATAATTTTAAGGCATTTATACCTTCTTTCCTGATGGAAATGTAACCCAGTACCATGGACATAACAATTGTGATGCGTTGCCATTCCTGAAAGATTGGACAGAAGAGGAAGTAATCCAAAATATATCAGTACCTATAGGTTGTGGACAGGAGAATTCAAAATATAACCAGAAGAATTAAGAAAAAGACCATTAATGAAGGACAACCAAGTTTTATTAATACTGAAACCATTGTTATTACTTTTGATGGACAAATATTACCAAAAAGAGTATTTATGTTTTACACATCATTAACTGTAGATTTGTACATTTACCCCACTATCCAATGCTATAACTGCTGTAGGTTCGGACATGTCAAGATGCAGTGTCGTTCAAATCCTCGGTGTTATAAATGCAGGCAAAATCATACAGGTGATAAATGTGAAGTAGATGAGGAAAATGTTTCTTGTATCTTGTGTAATGGTTCTCATTCAGCAATTAGTAAGAAATGTCCTGAATATGCACGTCAGAAAGCCATTAAAGAAACAATGGCCCACAGTTGTGTTTCTTATGCTGAAGCATCAAAATTTCATCCTCCCACTTCTAAACTATATTCAGATGTATTAACATCATCATCTCCGTCCAATAAATCTCATTTTCAATCTTCTTTCCTCAAAGAGAAATCATCATTACCACATATTCAATCATCACATAAAAAAACAGTTACACTTAAACCACGCTCTCCTCAAAAAGCACAACAAGGATATGATCGTTCTGCCCATGAAGCCATAGTTAAGGAATATAATATTCCTGCTCCCTCTAATGGTTGTGCATTATCATCAAATAATATTGACAATAATCAATCCATCTTTGATATTATTCTCATGCTTATTAAAGTGTTATCGCAATCGAAAATGATACAAACAACTTTACCACCGTCCAACGATGCCATTTACAATGTATTTTCTCAATTATTAACTTCTCACAATGGATTACAAAGTCCTAATAATTCAGTGGAACTGTCGTAGCATAACAAACAAGAAATCAGACTTATTTTATTTGATTAATAAATATAATCCTTTTATAATAGCTCTCCAAGAGACTTGGTTAAAGCCAGGATATCCTTTTAGGATTTCAGGCTTTACAAGTCTCCGTGATGATAGAGCTGACGGATATGGCGGTGTTGCCATATTGGTCAAAAACTCCCTTCCTTTTTCTTCTTTTTCGCTTCCTGTATATAGCGGCATTAATGCAGCTGCTATAATTATAAATGGTATCTGTTTTGTTACTTTATATATTCCTGATCCTACATGCCAAATATATTCACAACTAGAACAATTATTTTCAATTTTACCTAAACCTTTTCTCGTAATGGGCGATTTTAATGCTCAACACCAATCGTGGGGCAGTTCTACTTCTAATTTTTATGGTGGAAAACTCCTGACGATAATTGACACTTACAACTTATGTATTATTAACTCAGATGTACCAACACGTAGAACTGCACCGAATGAAGGGTTTAGTGCTCCTGACATTTCAATATGTTCTTCTGATTTAGCTTCTTCACTGTCGTGGTATCCTCATTCCTCTACTTTCGGAAGCGATCACTTTCCCCTCATTCTTTCTTTTCCAATTTCCATTCCCTCAAGTCGAAAGAGTGGTCCTCGGCTTAAATATAATTTATCAAATGTAGACTGGAATATTTACAAACAATATTTAGATAATAAAATATCGGAGTTACCTATTGTTTACCATGGAAATGAACATCAATGTTGTAATGACTTGATGATAAATATGAAGGAGGTTGCTGATTTATTATTTCCTGTTAAAAATAGTGCTTCAGGGAAAATTCCCTCGCCACCTTGGTGGGACAAAGATTGTACGGAAGCAATTAAAAATCGTAAAGAGGCTGAAAAAAATTATAATAATTACATGACACCAGAAAATTTTGAAATTTACACCGCAGTTTCACGTTCTACTCGAAAACTACTGAAAAAAAAGAAATTAGAAGGCTGGAGAAGATTTTGTTCTTCTATCTGTCCAGAAGTTAATTCATCAGTCGTTTGGAATAATATTAAAAGATTCAGATCTGCCTTTAGTGATCATACATCACGTTCTGCACTCGATTTAACTTTAGCGAATAAATTTTTAGATCGTCTTGCTCCTAGTTATGTGCCGGAATGCCTTTACAATATTTCTCTATCCGTCTCTGACGAATTATTCGAACTTGACTCTCCTTTTACTCTAGTAGAACTTAAAGGTGTTCTAGCTTCTATTAAAGACTCTGCACCGGGAGAAGACGGTATACCGTATTCCTTTTTTAAAAATGCTAGCGATGCGACATTAATTTACTTTTTAAATATAATTAATTCCATAATTATTTCGGGAAATATACCTACTTCATGGAAGTCTCAGATTATTATACCATTTCTAAAGCCTCATAAACCACCTTCTGAACCATCTTCATACCGTCCTGTTGCACTTTCCTCTGTCTTACTAAAGCTAGCTGAACATTTAGTGAAAAACCGTCTAGAATGGTTTTTAGAAAGTAATAACTTACTATCCCCGAACCAGTTTGGTTTTAGGAAAGGTAAGAGCACCTTAGATAATGTGAGCATTCTTATTTCAGATATTCATATAGCTTTCTCACAAAATTTGTCAATCCTCTCAGCCTTTTTAGATATAAATTCTGCCTATGATAATGTAATAATTTCTATTTTAAAAACTAAATTACAAGCTCTAAATGTACCGGTAATGCTTTCTAATTTCATTATTAATATTTTATCAGAAAGAACAATATATATGAATTTAGATGAAGATACCAAATTATCTAGAACAGTATGGAAAGGCCTTCCACAAGGATCTGTTCTCAGTCCAATCTTATTTAACATATACACATACGATCTAGAATTATTCCTTGATAAATCCGTCAAAATTTTACAATATGCTGATGATCTTTTATTATATTTTATTGCGAAGTCCATAGAATCTGCTTCTGCCAAATTATCTGATTCATTAGATTTGTTAAAAACGTGGTTAGATGCAAATGGTCTTAATCTTTCTGTAACCAAGAGTAGTGTAGTTTTGTTTTCAAGAATGAGATCACCGCAACAAATTAAGGTGCTTTATGATAACTCATACATTCCTATAAAGACTGAAATTAAATTTTTAGGTATCGTGCTAGATAATAAATTAACAGGTCTGTCCCACTGTAATTATATTTCTACGAAATGTGAGCGTAACCTCAACATTCTTAGGTGCCTTGCTGGAGTTTGGTGGGGAGCACATCCCGTTTCACTAAAACTTGCTTATAATGGTCTTATAAGGAGTGTCATTGATTATGGAACTTTTTTGTTAGCTCCAGGAAGTTCATTTGCTTTTAAGAAATTGGATTTAATTCAATCAAAGGCCTTGAGGATTATCTCTGGAGCAATGAAATCAAGTCCAATCAATGCTTTACAGCTCGAAGTCGGTGATCCACCTTTGGTTTTAAGAAGACAATATCTATCTGATCGCTTCTTTTTTCGTTGTTTACAATTATCTGATCATCCGCTTATTCAAAAGTTATCTCAACTACATATCGTTATTTCGTCTTCATCTTATTGGAAACATAAAAAACCTCCATGTTTAATACAAAGTTATGAAAAATATAAATCCATAGAATCTCCAACTTTTACATCGTCCTGTTTTCCCATTTATAAATGCTCATATCAATCTTTAGTTTTATCTCCTAATATTAAATATGATTTTGGGTTATTAAAAAATGATTCAGAATTGAATGCCAAATTTATGTTTATAACTGACATTGAATGGAATGAATGGCACTACATCTTTACTGATGCATCAAAACCAGACAATAGCGGTTGTGTAGGTGTGGGTGTGTTTCATTCACAATTTAATATCGTTCAAAAAATTAAACTTCCACCGGAGTCTTCAGTTTTTACCGGGGAATGTTATGGTATTTTAAAAGCTGTAGAATATATACTTTTAATGAAATTACATAAGGCAATAGTTTTCACTGACTCTATGAGCTCTTTGCAAGCTCTAGCCAAATATCCGTTTAAATCAAAACCAGTTTATCCCATTATTTGAGACATAAGACAAAGTCTTTATCTTTGCATGTTGAGAGGTTATTCCGTTTCTTTTGCCTGGTTACCAGGACACAGTGGTATTAGCGGCAATGACAAAGCTGACCTTATTGCAAGAGAGGCTGTAACTTGTGGTGATATGTATCCGTATCATAATTACTGTAGTGACCTAGCTTGTCTCCCAAAAATATATTTAAGGTATGCCTGGAAGGAATATTGGGAAAAAACAAGTACAATAAAAGGAAGATTTTATCGCCTTATACAACCCGATATTCCTTTCAAACCATGGTTTTGTAAATTAAAGCTTGGAAAGACCGCAACAACTATTATAACTCGTATGCGTCTAGGTCACGTATGCACACCTTCTCATTTATACAAGCTTGGTATTGTACAAAGTTCGTAGTGTAATTGCGGTGCTGAAGTGGCGGACTTGAATCATATATTCTTCTCATGTTCTAAATTTGACCACACCTCCCTTTTTAATCATCTCCGATCCATCCGTGTTCCATTCCCAACTTCTATTCTTACTCTACTTTCTTCCAATGATCCTATTATCTATAAAATACTATCTTCATATATATATGATAACAATATTAAGATTTAGTTATATTACATGAATACATTTATAGTTGCATCAATTGCTTTTCCTATATATTTATAAGTATATTCTCATATGTACAAGTATATGTTTCATATCCTAGACCTAATCCTTATCCTTTCTAAATTCGTTTGTGTTAGGTATTTTTATTACTATTATCGTTTCCCCGTTTTGTTCTTGGCAAAATACCCTAATATCGGGGTGAACGCCACAAAAAAAAAAAAAAAAAAAAAAAAAAAAAAAAAATACTGCTACACTAAAAATCAATTTTACATTTGTTTATCAATAATGATGTATAATCAACTTTTTCAATTTCAGTTCAAACATTGATTTATATTTATGCTCGTAGAATAACTATATTCTAGTGTATAATCCTAGAATTTTGTATAAAGATAAATGCATTAATGTAGCGAAAATGAAGTTGTCAACACCCAGATATTCATTTTGTTTGCTTTTTCAACTTATATTTATGTTTTTAGATTTATTGTTTAATTGTATCAGTTTATTTCCACGTAGTCGTGATGGACTTCTTGTTTTATTCATGTAAGTAAAAATTTAGTCCTCAATATAACCATACAGATTGATACTGTAAAACCTTTCTAGCATAATATTTTTTTTTATTACCTGGCCTATTATCTACCTGATAATAGTAGCTTTGTAATTATAATGGATATGAACATCGCCAAAATATAATATACCATACATCATGGAGCCTCTCATGTTTTGCCAATCAAAATTTTGATTCCTATGTGGCAGTGATAGCACAACATAATCAATTCTGTCTTTATATTTTGGTATCCAGAAAAATAAGAATCTATTTTCCGTTGACCTAGTTAGCTACTCATATAATAGTAATTGTTTATCAGTATTGACCATTTACTTCCACTAAAAATGTTAATGTAAAGCACATAAGTAAAAATCTAACATGTGTAAAGTTAAGGGTTTAACTTGTGAGCTGAACTGAAAACAAATTGTTTCAGATTCCAAGACCTGTTCCTTGTACTGTCCATCACTGCGATGCTTATGACATTCTTCTCAACATATTTATTTCAAGTGAGTTTTTAATTAATGCTATATTAACTTGTCAATATTTTTTAATGTTTATGGAAATTCCAATGAGATCTAGATATAATAATAATACAATCCTATGGACATATTAAAGACCACTGTCTAAATTTTACTGATGCTAAAACTTGTTATATGTCTTCTATTATGTTAAGTATTTTTTAAAATAAAAAGTATTTTATTTAATTTATTCTAACATTATATATGAAAAACTGTTACATTTGTCCTGAAAATAAAACATACATACATACATATTTGTCCCGCCTGTCTTCCATTAGGGTAGGCAGAAACATTGGAACGCCAAATGCTTCGATTCAAACAAATCTCTTTCGTTTCTTCCACATTCATCAATCTTTTTATACATGCTCGCTGGTTACAGGTACTTTTAATTTGGCCCTTCTTCAGCACGTCGCCTATTTGGTCAACATACGTCCGTCTAGGGCGGCCCCTACCGACATCTCCATTCATTCTTGCTCCATAAATCTCTTTCGTAATTCTTCTTTCATCCATCCTCTCCAAATGACTTGAAGTGAAATAGGGGATGAAAGTTTGTATGGGGAATCAATGATTTCTCAAGGTAGAGAGAGAATTTATCATAACTATATTTTTGTAATATATAAAAAATTTAACTTCATTTTAAAAAGTGGGTATCAGCTAGTTAATAATAAAACAAATGTTTGGATTATATAGGTATCAGATAGCTGAAGTTGCTATAAACAACTATAAGGTGGTGTTAGAATATGCTTTCTGTATGATAGTGGTCCAAAATCTAATGTTGTTGCAAGGCGGGGCTGGTGGAGGTGCTGGTGCGCAAGTTCCGCGCGGCGGCGGTGGTGTGCGGCGCGTACGTGTGCGGCAGCGTGGCGCTGCACGCGGCCTGGCTGCTGCACCGCTGGCCAGCGCCACACACCGTCTCCACGCCCTTGCTCACTGTGCTCTTTACCCTGCAGAGATGCTGTACGTACCAACCTGGCATGTTCACAATTTACAACGCTCAGTGGAAAGGGACTGATAGTACTGAGCTCTAACTACCTCTTTGCTAGCAATATACCCAACCAGGTCGACTTCCACATGGTCCCTCCTGGAAACCATCATGCTGAATGCAAGTGTATTCATCGCAATGGGCTAACTGACCTGTCTTTTCATTTTCATCACTCACTGGTGCCCTGCCAGTGTATACCAATAGCGCAGGCAGGGTAACTACTCCATCATCACCCATTAAAAAATAACTTACAATGGTCATTGGAAAAGGACTGTTAGTAATGGGCTCTAACTACCTCTTTGCTAGCGGTATACCCAACCAGGTCGACCTCCATGTGATTCCTTCTGGAAACCATTGTGGTTAATAATTGTTGAATCTGATGAGATAGGCTTACCGACCTGCTTCATTCTTATCTATCATCCCTCGCTTGTGCTCAACCATTGTATAGTGTAATGCGGGCAGAATCACTGTTTTTTTAACTTTGTTAAGGAAAAAAAATTGCTATTCAAAAATACTTAATGCTAATTCAAAAATACTTAATTGCTTTATTTCAATAAAAATATATCTTCCTTTCTTTCTTATCCTTAGGAAGGCAAACGAGCAGAAGGGCTACCTGATAAAATTATGTCACTGTTTCATTTTCATCAGAGGTTTTTAGATAATTACTCAAAAATGGTGCTAGTGTAGGAACATCGTTTTATTTTTCTTTTAATATTTACGTATGTTATTATTATAGATTTTTCACTCGACAAATTTTAAAGATAGAGGAGAAATGGTATTTTTTCTCACAATTTCAATTGTAAGTAAAGAAAGTATAAAAATCAATTGTAAGATGCACAAATGAAGGCCTATCATAAATTACTCCTAGCAAACAAATAAAGAAATAAAATTAAAATATAAAAATTATTTCAAATTGATAGTATTAGTAGTTGATGAGATATAACACTGAGATAGACAGGTGGACAGACCAAGTCGCACCATAAGGAGCTCTTTGTACCTTTTTGGTACAGACCGCTAGAAATACTTGTATATTTCTATTTCAATTATAAATAGAGCCTTTAATTAGTGTGGTAAAAGTATAGTACCGTCCTCCTCATATGTTAATAGGTTTGTACAGTTGACACGTTGTTCACAGTGTCCCCCTGGTATTACTTCTTCTACAAGCGCGCCGCGCTCCGCGTGAGCGACCCGCGCTTCTACGAGGACATCGACTGGATCAACCACCAGCTGCAGACTCACTAACCGACTCGACCGCGCGACCCCGGACCTTTGTATTGTACGCGATTTGTTGTTTACATTAAGTACAAATGTTTCTAGTCACTACAAATGTTTATTTTAATTAAAATGCCTACTCCGCATGCTGTTGGTGTTTTCTTTATCTGCATGTTAATCTAGACATGGGCAACTCAACGTTTTTTCATGCGTCAACTCAGTAACTCAGGGGGGAAAGGGATTGTTAGCAATGGAGATTGACAGTCCTATTGTTAGCAATATACCCTATTAGGTCGACCTCCACCTGGTTCCCCCTGGAAACCATCCTGAACAATTCTTATTGAATTCGTCACGATGGGCTAACTGCTTCATCCTCACCTCATCTTTCAATGGTGCCCCGCCGGTGTATACCGATAGCGCGGGTGGGGTTACCATTGCATTATTACTCATTAAAAAAAAACTCAGTAATTTACGCGCACTTTACTGCGCCTACTCATTGAGAAAATAGCGCCGCATACAGGGTAACATGTATTCATAAAAAAGCCCCTCACTCTGTTTCTACTTTTAGATTTACTTACACTCGTTCTAATATTTTAGTGCATTTGTGTACATTTAAGTACAAGTACCACAAGTTCAAATTATCTTAATTTCTGTAGTGCCTGTGCGCCAAGTCATTTTGAAGATGTGAATTCTGACATCCAAAGCAGTGATGCGAGTTGGCGTAGTTTTCTTTTTTTTTTTTATTTGAAGATTATGCATAAATACATTAAAAAAAACTGATTTTTTAGTACCACTTAAACCTCTTGGGCTTGTGAGTTGCGCAGCGAAGCGCAGTGTTACCCATGTCTATACGGGGTCATACATATATATATATATATATATATATATATATATATATATATATATATAATCCCATCTCATCAAGGGGTCTATAAAATATATAAGATTCGACAAGAACATTTTAAATGATTACTTTTTAATTACAACTACTACAAAGGTGTGTGTAATGCAAAGTTTGGTATTCGGTGCTACTAGCTCCCTACTTATCTCACAGTATATTAAAAATAAAAATGCACTCAAATACCAGGATGGGTGCCCTGAAGCTGTTGACGTCATTATTAAAAATCACTATATGGTAGATTGTTTGCACTCTTCTGACATTGAAAGGAAGGCATTACTTTCAGTATCATGAGACTGTCATATAATCTAAAAATTAAAAAAATAAAAGAGATAATATGGTTTCGCCATGTGTGTCGCAGTGACCCAAATGTACCACCCAATAGTAATATATTAATCACTCTACATTAACACCGCATTGTTTCTACATTGCACCCGTGCGAAGCCGGGGCGGGTCGCTAGTCTAACATACATTTAATTGATATAATATTTAAATACGGGATTATTGCTTTAGACTTAAATAAAACAACAACGGCAATTTAAAACATGTCAATATATAATATTTAATTATCGTAAAACTTCTTAGACAATAAGTATTCATTTAAAGTAAAAAAATATTGTGGAATATTTATTATTATACCTACATATTTGTACAGATAAATAAATGATTGGTGATGGGAAAACTCATTGATTGCGTTAAATGGTAGGAAGCGTATCACTGTCGCTTTGTGGCCAACATCAATTACAATAAAATTTTTACACTGATCAAAATTAATATATGAAGAATATACAGGTATTTTAAAAAAATAAATATACATTTCAAACTTGGACACGAACAAAACATACAAGTAATGCTGGTGTGGCGGCGGCGATCAGAAGGCGGCGCGGCACAGCGGACAGTTGGACTTGCTGCTGGTCGCGAACCACTTGCGCTGCGAACGGAGGAGTACAGCGCGGGTTAACGGCGTGAACAGTATCGAGACACGTATCAAGCATTGTTGTTTAATGGATAATAATGGAATGGTAACCCCGTTTGCGCTATCGGTATACACTGGCGGGGCACCAGTGATAGATGACTGATAAGGACGAAAGTTAGCCCATCCTGTTGTTTGCCACCTCAGTGGTATATAAAAAAGATATTTTTGTGTTATTGATTCATGGAAATAAATGGAGAATCCACTCAATTCATGATAGATAAATACTTAGGACGCTTCTGAAATGAAGTCAACTAGCAACCTGCCGGTACATGTACAGTGTGCGAGGGTGTGCGGGTGTGTACGTACCATGCAGGGCGTGTGGAACCTGTTCCTGCACTGGCGGCACTGCATGCGCGGCAGCTGGCCGGAGGAGGGGTGCAGGCGGCAGTAGCACACGAAGCACTGCGGCGAGCTGCCGGTACATGTACAGTGTGCGAGGGTGTGCGGGTGTGTACGTACCATGCAGGGCGTGTGGAACCTGTTCCTGCACTGGCGGCACTGCATGCGCGGCAGCTGGCCGGAGGAGGGGTGCAGGCGGCAGTAGCACACGAAGCACTGCGGCGAGCTGCCGGTACATGTACAGTGTGCGAGGGTGTGCGGGTGTGTACGTACCATGCAGGGCGTGTGGAACCTGTTCCTGCACTGGCGGCACTGCATGCGCGGCAGCTGGCCGGAGGAGGGTGCAGGCGGCAGCTGGCCGGATGTAGGGGTGCAGGGTGTGCGGGTGTGTACGTAGCGTGTGGAACCTGTTCCTGCACTGGCGAATGCGCGGCACTGCGGCACACGAGCACTGCGGCGAGCTGCCATGTACAGTGTGCGAGGGTGTGCGGGTGTGTACGTACCATGCAGGGCGTGTGGAACCTGTTCCTGCACTGGCGGCACTGCATGCGCGGCAGCTGGCCGGAGGAGGGGTGCAGGCGGCAGTAGCACACGAAGCACTGCGGCGAGCTGCCGGTACATGTACAGTGTGCGAGGGTGTGCGGGTGTGTACGTACCATGCAGGGCGTGTGGACTGCATGCGCGGCACTGGCCGGAGGAGGGGTGCAGGCGGCAGTAGCACACGAAGCACTGCGGCGAGCTGCCGGTACATGTACAGTGTGCGAGGGTGTGCGGGTGTGTACGTACCATGCAGGGCGTGTGGAACCTGTTCCTGCACTGGCGGCACTGCATGCGCGGCAGCTGGCCGGAGGATGTACAGTGTGCGAGGGTGTGCGGGTGTGTACGTACCATGCAGGGCGTGTGGAACCTGTTCCTGCACTGGCGGTGCAGGCGGCAGTAGCACACGAAGCACTGCGGCGAGCTGCCGGTACATGTACAGTGTGCGAGGGTGTGCGGGTGTGTACGTACCATGCAGGGCGTGTGGAACCTGTTCCTGCACTGGCGGCACTGCATGCGCGGCAGCTGGCCGGAGGAGGGGTGCAGGCGGCAGTAGCACACGAAGCACTGCGGCGAGCTGCCGGTACATGTACAGTGTGCGAGGGTGTGCGGGTGTGTACGTACCATGCAGGGCGTGTGGAACCTGTTCCTGCACTGGCGGCACTGCATGCGCGGCAGCTGGCCGGAGGAGGGGTGCAGGCGGCAGTAGCACACGAAGCACTGCGGCGAGCTGCCGGTACATGTACAGTGTGCGAGGGTGTGCGGGTGTGTACGTACCATGCAGGGCGTGTGGAACCTGTTCCTGCACTGGCGGCACTGCATGCGCGGCAGCTGGCCGGAGGAGGGGTGCAGGCGGCAGTAGCACACGAAGCACTGCGGCGAGCGTGCCACGCGCGCCGTCACCGCCTCCACCCACATGCGCAGCGCCGACACCACCGACCCGTTCTGCCGGCACATCATCAATGTCATCACCATCATCATCGCCATTTTATACAGTCTACTGCGTCACACAATCCAAACTAAAGAACTAAAGCGGCCGACACAGTCCGAAGGATAAGCAAGCGGAAAAGATAACGGGCTGGTCACGTAGCTCGACAATCAAAAAAATATAAGGTTCTTGTGTGGCGACCCTGTGTGGGCAAACGCAGTATAATTCGACGCCCCTACTAGATGGAGTCAGTGGATGCGGGTGACTCAGGACCCTTCCTTATGGCAATCTATAAGGGAAGTCTATATTCAGCGGTGGACATGTAACTGATGATATGATATAAGGATCCTTTATTACAGACTGGCTGTATGCTTGTTTCTCATTTTTGTGGTATAATTTTACAGATTAGTGCAGAAGACGAGAGATCTGTGTTTGTTGTATAATTTTTGCGAAAAAAAAAATTATTTATTTATCGACATTACATTAGGAACCTCTAAATCTATCAGTGTTTCTCTACAATATTATGCATGTATTATACATATAAACCATCCTCTTGAATAACTCTATCTACTGAAAGAAACCGCTTCAAAATTTGTTGCGTAGTTTTAAAGATTTAAGCATACATAGGGACGGACAGACAGCGAGAGCGACTTTGTTTTATACTATGTAGTGATTTTAGATATTGAGATGTTTTGTCTATTCCTTGTATATTAATTTTCTCAATTTCAAAAATAGTGATAAAATACTCTAGTTAAAATAGTCTAGTAGCAGTTTCAGTTTTTATAAGGAGTAATAGAGTATTGTGTGTTGCCACACGCGTGTTTTTCAATTGTCTGAATTTGTAGTGTAGTGCGGTAGCGGCGCGGGTGCACCTGGTAGCCGAGGTAGAGCAGCAGCCACTGCGTGGGCGCGGCGGGCGAGGCGGGCCCGGCGGGCGGCCCGTCCACGCGCGGCATGGTCAGCGGGTGGTCGGCCGCCAGCTGCACCGTCAGCTGCAGCTGCTGCCCGTCCACCGTCAGCGTCGCCGTCGCCTCCAGCGTGCCTGCCGCTGCACAGTATTTATTAATTAAACACACTTGACACTTTTTTCGAACTACTCTGCTTTTGTTGATGGTAGATTTTTGTACTTATTATAAAAGTGTATATATGTTTGTATAAGCATGGAATTTATCGTTGATTATTACTATATATACGGCCAGCAGGCGGCCCGCGCGCGCCGCCGCCGCCGCCGCCGCCGCCGCGTGGTACGTGTGTATATGTGAGCGGTGTGAGGGTGAGAGGACAGTACCGCTGCGCACGGCGAGGTCCGTGTGCGCGCGCGCGCGCCGCAGCGCGAGGCGGTGCGCGCGCAGCAGCTGCGGCGCGACGGCGCGGCGCGCGAGCGCGGCCAGCAGGCGGCCCGCGCGCGCCGCCGCCGCCGCCGCCGCCGCCGCCGCCGCGTGGTACGTGTGTATAGTGTGAGCGGTGTGAGGGTGAGAGGACAGTACCGCTGCGCACGGCGAGGTCCGTGTGCGGCAGGCGCGCGCGCCGCAGCGCGAGGCGGTGCGCGCGCAGCAGCTGCGGCGCGACGGCGCGGCGCGGCGGCGCGCCCGCGCGCGCGCCGCCGCCGCCGCCGCCGCCGCGTGGTACGTGTGTATAGTGTGAGCGGTGTGAGGGTGAGAGGACAGTACCGCGCGCGCCGCCGTGTGCGGCCGCGCGCGCCGCGCCGAGGCGGTGCGCGCGCCGCCGGCGCGACGGCGCGCGCGCGAGCGCGCCCGGCCCGCGCGCGCGCGCCGCCGCGCGCCGCGCGCCGCCGCCGCGCTCACGCCCCGCGCGCCGCCGCCCGCGCCGCCAGCGCGCTCACGCCCTGCGCCTCGCCGCCGCCGCCACCACCACCACCACCGGCACCGTCCTCCGCCGCTGCACCAGACAGTTATAGTATACACATGGCGTACCATGAGGTACTTCTAGGTCATTGGCATCTGGGACAGTGGACATGAAGGCCGAGAATTAAGCACGGCTTCAATTTTACAAAAAACACTAGCAAGTTCTTCTAATGTTAATATGCTCTCTCCGATCACCCGTCGAGGATGAGTCTTGGCTGCCTCGACACGAGCCTCAAACATACCGCCCCAATGAGGACATTCTGGAGGGTCAAATCGCCAAGTAATTCCCCCGCGGGCCAATTCCACCCCGACCTCGGATTGTCCATCAAGTAAAAATTTGTGAACATCGTTTAAATAATTATCGGCACCCTTATAATTCGTTCCACAATCGAATCTGATCAATGTAGGCAAGCCGCGACGAGATATAAACCGTGAAAACGCTGCAACAAAAGCATCGGTAGATAGTGCCGAAACAAGTTCGAGATGAACTGCCTTGGTAGATAGACAAATAAAGACATAAATATGCCTTCAATGCTTTAGCGTTACGAAGTTGTGAGGTCTTGACCATAAAAAGGCCAGCAAAATCCGTCCCAACTCCATCAAAAGGCCTAGCTACGACTACGCAAGTCAAGTAGACAAGTCTCCCATCATCGGTTGCATGAGGGGAACTTTCATTCGATAACAGGGTAAACATCTAAAAATCACCCCACGAGTAGGCCGTTGAGTTGACAAGATCCAGAATCCCCGCTACAAAATAGCCAAAAGGGCATTACGATCGGCGTGAACATTATTAATATGGCGATCTAATGCCAACAGACGTACTAAATTTCCAGATTTAGGCAACAAGAGAGGGTGACGAGCACCAAAATGTAGCTGCGCATTTCGAAGCCTACCACCTACTCGTACGAGACCCGAGTCATCCAGGAATGAACACAAATGAGCTATAACTCCCTTCAATTTAGAACGACCTCTCTTAAGGATATCTATCCCTTTAGTGAAATAATGTGGCTAACCGAGTGTCACAAATTCAAACGTCTGAAACACAGTTAATTTGGCGATATATTCCAGGCGAGTTGAATCCGGCAGATATTGCGTCTCGAGGTTGTCATGCTCCTGACTTGCTTCATCACCGTTTATGGTGGGAGCTATATTGGCTGTTGAACCAAGAAGCGGATTGGCCTCGGTATCAATCTATTATTGTTCCTGTACCAAGCCTGCAAGTCCATGTCACCATCAAAGAACCTCAAGTCAAGGCTGAGTTTCTTATAGACCGGTATAGTTCCTTAGACAAATTGGTAGGTGTAACGGGCTGGATACTTCGTTTTATTCAAAATTGTAGATTTCCGCGGGATCCTTTCCCGCTTCTTTCTCTTATTCTTTCTCCGGAAGAGCGCCATCAGGACCATTGGGACAATACCTTTATCACCCCGGCCCCAGTTTGCCCCTTCTTCTGTGCTGACTCGTCTGTGCATTGACGACTCTCCCGCTCCTTTCCAGCCTCCTTCTCACTAAAGAGATAGATATCTCTCCTCACCATCCGCCGAACTACGGCGGGAGAGGATCGTTCTAAATTGAAGAGAGTTATAGCTCATTTGTGTTCATGGTCCTGGATGACTCCTCCGTCGGCTCCCTGCGCGCAACATGACACAGATGTAGGTGGTATCTGTGTCATCCTGAAGGTGCGCCTTCGAGCCTGTCCACCTTAAGAAGTTCGACGGTCCTCGATGGATCAGCCGCTGTTCTCTCTCGCTGCAGGGCCCGTGCGTGGGACTTCCGCAGCGCAATCTGGAAAATGACGCCTTTGTACGCCACTCTAGACCGACGCCCAGGCATTGGCCTCCAAGTTAGATCGCCATATTGGAATAGTGCGGTATCCGCTGCGGATCGCCATGGCCCTATGTGGCCTGTTTAATGCCACATTTTTTGGCCCTGTTTATGCAGCATGGACCTCACCACCCCAAGGTAAGGCGGCGTGTGCTTCTGGATCTTGTTTCAGCCGGCTGACGCCGCCATTTACTCGTGGGGCCTGATTTTTAGATGCCCCTACCCTGGGGTTATCTGGCCACTGACCATTATATGGGCTCCCTCTCATGCAACTGATGTTGTCCAAGGCGGCGCGACTTGACGACTAGTGATGCTTGCCGTGGTCGTAACTAGAAGCGTGTCGTCTGATGGACAACATCGCTGCTGGAAAGGGCACCCCGCAAGTTCCAGTCATACCCGATGTCCCACAGGATCGGTCCTAGCACCGACCCCTGTGGTCAACTATCTCCCTCGACATTACCGCCCCCATTCTATCCCCTGTAATTTTGCTCTAGGTTTTTTGTTTTTTAAGTCCCTAATGACAGTGTTGTTCTTGATGATGTAACGCTGGATACGTTTTGTTCAAAATGGTTTTCGCAAAAAAAAGTTCTTTCTCTTATTCTTTCTGAAGAGCACCATCAAGCTTTATTATTTTGTGTGCGAGCTGTGCAGCGACAGTATTTCACTAAAGAGATAGATATCCTTAAGAGAGGTCGTTCTAAATTGAAGGGAGTTATAGCTCATTTGTGTCCATTCCTGGATGACTCAGCCACACAAGCAAGAAATGCGAAGTACCTTTTGGTGCTTATCGTACCCTCTCACCTAAATCTGGAAATTTAGTACGTCTGTTGGCATTAGATCGCCATATTAATAATGCTCACGCCGGTTGTAATGCCCATTTGGCTATTTTGCAAAAGATCTGATGAAACCCATGGTATTGTGCACCATAATTATATATATATTTTTTGTAGTGCTGTGTCTTCGCAGCACGTGCAGTAAGGATTTTGTATATCTTGGCAGGGTCCTTACTGCACATACACATATTTTTGAAGAATTAGCTTGAACAAAATATTATTTTACTGTATAAATTAAGACAACATTATTAATTCCTTATAATGTGTACCTACTAAATTAAAATAACAAAAAAAAAACAACAAAAGACATAAAATATCGATACATTTATGAGTACGAGTTCTACCGTGACACCAATGATGCAGAAACAGCTCGAAGAATTCATAATATGGACGGCGCTAATGTCGCAAAAGGAAACACAGTACATTTTTGGTATCAACATTTTCATTATGGAAAATTCGACCTTCAAAACCAAACCCATGGACGACCAGAGACAAAAGTGGGTAATGAAGAATTAATGGCTATTGTGGAAGCGAATTCACCACAAAGCACTTCAGAGATAGCTGCAGGCTTCAGAGTAAGTGATCAAACTGTATTAATCCATTTGAAGCAAATCGGGAAAGTAAAAAGCTTAAACGATGGGTACCTCATGAATTGTGTGAATCGAACTTGTAAACACGCGTCGACTGCTGTGTTACTTTGCTCAACCGATACAATAATGAATAAATTTTAAATCGAATCATGACTTGTGATGAAAAGTGGATACTATAAAATAATTGAAAGCTCTCGTCACAATGGCTAAACCCTAGAGACCCAACCAAACCCCTAAACGAAAATAGACTCAGAAAAAGTTATTTGTATGTGTTTGGTGAACTAGCGCCGGTGTCGTTCACTACAGCTTTCTAAAATCTGGCCAAACGATTACGACAGACATCTATTGTCAGCAACTGCAAACCATGGAGGAAGAACTAGCTGCTAATTAACCGAGATTGGTCAATCGCTCTAGTCCACTGCTGCTTCACGACAACGCAAGACCCCACATTGCATAACAAGCAACCACTAAGATAGGTAAGCTACAATTAGAATGTCTGCGACATCCACCGTACTCCCGGACCTTGCTTCAATAGATTACCATTTTTTTCCGGAATTTGGACAACTTACAAGGAAAAAAATTCAACTCCAATGCCGCAGTCCAAACCGGCTTCAAAGAGTTTATTGATTCTCGCACCCATAGTTTTTTTAGTAAAGGGATCAATGAACTACCTATGAGAAGGCAAAAGTGCATAGGTAACAATGGTGTATATTTTGATTAATTAAATATATTTTACAAAAAAAAAAAACTATATTCCTCTCGTAAAAAACGCCAATTTCACATGTAAGGGCCTAATATTTAATTAATTATTAATAAAAAAAAAAAATCTAAAACAAAAAGCCAGTCTGGAAGACTAACTCTGGTAAATGCTAATCGAATAACTGTTTAAAATGAGAATGTACTTAATTCCTGAACCCTTTTGATGTGTATAATAAAAATTTAAAAAATCAATACAAAAAATAAAACATTACAAATTACACTTAAAATTTTAATTTTAACCCATTTTTTTTTACATTTCTTTAATTTATTGATATTAATTAATTAATAATTCACAAAATCTCCCTTTTGAACACTTAAAAATATTTAATACCTAACTTTTATATCTACTTTTGTTTAAATATACTATAATGTAACAAAGTGAAGGCAACTGACCATCTATGGTGAACTCCGGGGTGGTGTTGAACATGTCGAGGTAGCGCTGCGGCAGCGGCGGCGCGGACTCGCTGCAGTCCTGCGCGAGCGCGAACACCTCGGCGGGCAGCAGCCGCAGCACTATCGGCAGCAGCATGTCCGTGTACTTCTCCTTCGGCAGCAGCTCCCACTTGTTCCGTGTACTTCTCCTTAGACTGGCAAACTAGTCAATTTACATTTTTTTTATGCAACTTAGAATGGCAAACAAGCTGACGGCCCACTAATTGAAAGTGTTATCGTACCATTGGCTATCATGATATCCCCCATGTGTTGCCATTCCTGAGCACTCAGGTGTTATTCCTTTGTACTCAGTAAATTCACATAGTCCATAGAGAACCATATAGACATCTATGGATTCCACCATATTTTTACTATTTTTTATTCCTTTTACACAGAAAAACCTACAGGGAATCATGTATATGGACATAATGGATTTGCTTGACATGGACAATGGACACTCGACGGTAAATAACACACAAGATTCATGATGGAATGCCAGTAAGGCATTTACTATATAAGATAGGTCTGTCTTCGGCCTACCTCTGTTCCATTTGTGTTTCAACCGTGAAGCAGTTGTATTTGCATGGCTGTGTTTCGGTTTGAAGGATGGGTGATATGGCGTGAATTTACTGGGTACAGAGGAATAACACCTGAGTCCTCAGGAATGGCAACATGTTTCGCCCATGATACTGTGTGACTTCACTTTCCATCAGGTGGGCCGTCAGCTTGGCATATCTGTATAAAAAAAAAAGATTGTAGTGTTGATGTGCAACTGTGAGCACATATGAGTCTAGAAACTGTTTATTTAGAGCCAGATTATAGATATCTTAAACCGTGGGATATTGCAAAGGTAACATGTAGGATCTATAAAATGATAGTATGAAGCGGGGGGAAGCACTAAAGATCCCAATGAATCCCAAACAATATGTAATGGTTTTGCTGAAGATAAGACACGTGTGACTTCACTGGCATATGTCAGAGAGTTGTGGTGCGCGAGGTGACTGGAAGATGTGTATGTAGTGGTCAGCGGCGGCGGCGTCGGCGGCGGCGGCGGCGGCCAGCGCGTGCAGCGCGTCCACCAGCAGCAGCAGGCCGCGCGCCAGCCCGCGCGCCTCCGAGCCCGGCTGCAGCCAGCACGTGCCCGCGCCCGGCCTGCACCACCACCGCGCTCAGTACGCAATCCGACCATGTCTCGCTAACTACACACTCACATTCACATTTCTTTAGTGAAAACATGTTTAAACACGTTGGGCATTTTTTGAGATAGGAAAACCTTTTGTACTTGCAACACTGTTCCCGTGACCGTGACCAACACCTCTATATATAAGTATCTACATATATTATGTATGTACGTACACAGATATACATGCATGTTGACATTTTTTGAGACGGAAGAAGATCATTAGACTCGCGACACTGTTACCATTATCAACACCTCTGACAACTCAAAAAATACATTCGTAATTTTTCAAGTTTTCACTTTTGTCGGCACTCCCGAATTACCATAATTTTTTTTTTCTAAGAAATATTTAAAATGCGTCTAGAAAAAATTTTATACCAATGATTCAGTTGTGACACTCTGTTTGTGTTTTATATAAGTACATTACAGTTACTAGTAGCCGACAATGATTCTGTAAAAGCTGTAATACATAGTTAATACCGAGTACCATACTACTAAAATATATTTAGAAACGTTGCTATTACTTTACTTCTATATTACTGTATTTATAAATTATGAATTTAGACACATTTCATTTTACAACTTGAGCAGTGAATTCAAAAGGTCCACCACGAGTTACCACACAGTGTAGACTCACTCGACATTAGAGAGCGCCGCGTCGACGAGCTCGAGCAGGTAGTGGTAGGTGTCGTTGAATTCCGTCATGACCAACTCCGGCGGCGGCTTCTCCTCCTCAGTCTCGTCCGCGCCCTCGCTCCACGCCGTCAGGATCTCCACTGTCGATACAGAGGCAAATATGAGCTCTAGTTATGCGAACAACCTTCTCTCACGGATAACCCAGATAACGTGGTTGTTTCTTTTATAATCTTCTTCTTACCTTTTTTTCATATCTATTCGGGGTCGGCGTAATATAATAAGTTTATTTACCATATTTACACTGTTGCACTCGTCGGTGTAGACGCAGCAACCCTTGTCCAATTCCCAAAGCTGCCGGGTGCTGTAGATGCAGTCGCCTCGGGGTACGCTCTGCTCTATCTTTATATCTTTTACTCTGTTCCATATTACGAGAGATGGTTTCGGTTTTACAATTTTATTACAGCTGCTTACCTGACGTCAACTCTATTTGGGAATGCGATCGTTGGTGGTTTATTCATTACTACGATATGAAGGAATACAAAAAAGGGGCGGGGACAAGGAAATCGGGAATAAAGATTTTGAGGAATAAATATTGGGAGGGGGAGATACTTTTTTTTATACTACTAAGGTGGCAAACAAGCATATGGTCTATCTAATGGTAAGTGGTTGCTGTAGCCTATAAATACTTGCAATACCAGAGGTATTACGCGTGCGTTGCCGACCCTGAATAAACCTCTTTACCCTCCTTTTGAAGAATCCCATTCTGTAGTCTTTTGGGAAAACCTTAGCAGGGAGCTCATTCCATAACCTGAGTGTTCATTGGAGAAAACATCTCTGAAACTGCGCCGTACGCGACCATTTAGGCTGTAGGATATGAGGACACTGCAATGGCGGAGCTGTTATTGATGAACCGCAGTAGGTCGGACGGCCGGGGTTGCATATTGATACGTCCTTAGCACCGGATAAATTACTAGAGGGAACAGTTGGGAGTTGTTACGTACCGTCGGCGCTGGCAGCGGCGGCGGCGCGCGCGACGACGGCGGCGTGCGCGGCGTACTGGTAGCCGCGGTGCGCGGCGCCGCGCCACGTGCCGCCGGCCGCGCGTAGCACGCGCCGCACGTCGCGCCGCGGCTGTGGCTCGGCCTGCTCGTCGCCGCAGCGCCGCTCGCCCGTCGTCACCGCGCACACGCTGCGTGCGCGTCCGCACCACATCCTCTCCCCGTGGCTCTCTACACGACACGCCTCGTATATTTATACGGCGAACCCTGTCCCCTTATTAAGTGGGAACGCGACGTTAAACATCTACGTGGATTAATTTGTTGGTTGTGTTTTCAGTAGCTATTTGACGGTGAAAACACAAGTGTTACACGGCCCGTATAACGCAGGTGCGTTTCAGTTTGATGAATACAAATTATTTGGTTTGAATTATTTAGTTAAATAATAAAATTAGGAATTATTAATTATTTAAGTAACGAAATCTTTTGGATTCGTGTACCATTATCAAAATTGCAAAGGAACTCGTATTCCCTCACCTGGCAGACATGCTGTTTACTCCTATGTTACGTCATCATATGTTCTAGATCAGGGGTGGACAAATATTTGATAGGCGGACCATATTGCAGATGAAAATTTTACCCTTGGCCAACAGTTTTTGTTTTTCTAAATTTAAATTTAATTTTTGCTAATGATGCCAATTAATGAATTTTAAAACCAACATTTTTGAATCAAAATATTTATTAAGCGCTGAAAAGAGCAGTTGTTCGGGAGAAAATTTTGACTTCCACCGGCCCTGATAATGTGTATAGGTATTGCTTAATATTTTATTTAAAATTTTTATGTACCAATTTATGTTAGACAAGAACTAATATTTGTGTTCTTAATAATATTATATACAATGTTTCAGAGGCCAGACAAAATTTTATTGCGCAAACAGACTGGTTGGCCGGATTCGGTCCGCGGGCCGTCATTTACCCAGGTCTGTTCTAGATCGTCGTCGATCACGTGGTAATAGATAAAATATGATATTTTTCAATGTTTTTATGCATAGTTAATAATATATTTTTATCAAATTAATGCATACCACTTTTAAAGCCCCTAGATAACCTATAGTTTCATAATGGGAATATAGTACTTAAATACAAGACGACAAATACGAGACATATCGATGTAACGCTTCAGTGGACAGGAATAGCAATGCACGCGACATACCCGGCATGAGTGTCAGTTTATTTAAGTGTGGACGCACCGAGGACGTGCAGCAGCAGGGTGTGGCGCGCGGCGCGGAGCGCGGGCGCGAACACGTCCCGCCACTCGGCGGGCAGCGCGGCCACGTGCGCGGCGGGCCGGCGGCGCGCGCACGCGGCCGGCAGCGCGCGCACGAACCGCTGCACGCGCACCAGCAGCCGCACCGCGCCGCGCCACACCATCGCCACCTGCGCACCGCCCTCCCTCACTCACTCACTCACTCACTCACTCCTCCCTGCGGCACACGCCCATCTAGACAAGCGGCAGTGTGCCCGGCCAAGTTCAAATAAAATACACTAGCGATGCAACAATCGATTGTAGTATGTGTAGTACACGAACCGTTTCCAGTTACTTTTGACCCGCTCGTGACTTGCAAACCATTTAATCTACATACATAGAATTTGGCATAATTACTACAAGCCCTTAGTTGGACTAGAATCCGTAATATCATGAACATTGGTCAAGTAGTTGTTGATATATTAACGTTTAAAAACCGGTATTTTTATGACTGACTCGTAGATCAAAAACCTAACCTAGTACCAGATGACCTAGAAACTTGATATTTGGCATCAAAGCCTACTTTACCCACTAATAATTATTGATATTAATTATCAGCAAAAAAAATAATGAAGTATGAAAATAGATATTCGCAATAACAATGTCCTATTTGCTTAGCATTAGCGCTTTCTCAAAATAAACTTCTAAATATTTGGCAAAAGCTTACTGAGCACTCTTCATAGTTAAAACCTTAAAGGAAGTACATCTTATTAATCTAGATCTAAATCAAATCAAGACACAAGAAAGTTCTATAGCATAATACAATTGTCTCCACACATTACACCACTCTAACTTAGCCAAATTAGCCAAGCCAAATCTTGAGCTTGAATTACATTCCAAGTATACGCATTGTATTAATAAATCTTTTAAATTAAAAAATTTATAATACCTATTCAGTAGCAAACATGGAAATAGTACCAAGAAGCAAGAAATTGTTATATAAATTCATTTTATAGTGATTCATTTTATACACGGAATTTGGCACCCATCTATATGGTATCACTATTCTTTTTTCGGCGGAGTTGAAACGGCGTATATTCGTATTATTGGACTTGACTCTCATTTCACATTAAGTTATTAAAGAGATTATATAATTTATCGATGGTTAATCTAAACTGACATTTATAAAAAACTTGAATTAATTTTTTACTTACATCTCATTTACATTTATAGTATAAAACAGAATAATGTTATAAATTTATCTTAATATAAATTTCATTTGAGAAATTAAAAACAAAAAACAGAAATAAATTAAGAATTAGAATATTTGCTCTGTTTCTAGTAAAATTTTGTACAAAAAAAAACTAGCATAGTTTTTTTTTTATGGGTGATAATAAAATAGTCACCCACGCTGTCGGTATATACCGGCGGGGCACCAGTGAAGGATGATAGATGAGGATGAAGCAGATCAGTTAGCTTATCGTGACGAATTCGACAAAAATTGTTCACGGTGGTTTCCAGGGGGAACCACGTGGACGTCGACCTGATAGGGCATATTGCTAGCAATGGGGCTGCCAAACTCCATTGCTAACAATCCCTTTCCCCCCTAGTTAGAAGCTACTAGCGAGTAAATATCGTTGTTGTGCAGTAACACTTTGACTAGTAAAAATAAGTGGGAAAGTAACAAGACTAGGAGCTCTTCAGTAACAGTACAAATGAAAACAATGTTAGTAGTAACATTTAACAGGAGCGATTTGTTCAACCTTTACGGAGCCCCATCGCTGCTTGGAGAGTTCGAGAGAGGTGAACAGCGAGCAGAGCGTGATAGTTGTGAAGTCCCAGTGGTGGGCGGCCATGTCCCAGCCGTGTGTCGCTACCAGCAGCGCTAGGTACTCCGTGATAGCTGCATTGCTCACTACGTGCGCCCACGGTGCCTCCGATATATCCCTGGACAGTGAAAAGCGATTTATTGCTGTAAATAAATTGGAAATACCCATATTCGTACCGGTATACACATAATTGTAGACGATTATGTAATCAGTACTTCGTAACGAGACGCACATGCAGGTCTCGGTCAAACGTTTGTAATTTTGGTGGTTCAGTGGAGGCGGAAGTGAAATCGATTAAGCATCACTTAAAAGGAATTCTAAGAGATAAATGAATTGCCTCTCTGTATAGTGTAACGGTTGACTGGTAGAGAGTGTCATCAGACATTAAGTTTACCCTCTAGATATATTTTAATGTGTGCAAAAGTATAAATAAATAAATGGTTATTTGAAGAGGTACATAGGAAACAAGGACATGGGAACAGAATGGGAGAATGGAAGACTGTGGGTGCGACTGACCTTTCGTAGAGCATGATGTGGTTGTTTGCGTAGTAGAGGTCGATCACGGGGCCGGGATCGGTGTAGTGACGCTGGTCGGTCGGCGCAGGCGGCGTGGTCGGCGCAGGCGGCGTGGTCGGCGCGGCGCCGAGCGCGGCGTGCAGGCTGCGCGTCATGAGCAGGTAGGCCGCCTCCAGCGCGCTCTCCGCCGCCTCCGTCTCCACCTCCTCCGTCTCCGCCGGCCACCTGCAGCTCGCCTGCGCACACAATCGATCAATGGCGTGGATTTACTGGGTACAGAGGAATAACACCTGAGTCCGCAGGAATGGCAACGCATGCGGGGTATCATAGGCGAACGGTATACTCTGTTATGTGCATGGTACTGCTCATGTCTATAGGCGACGGTTACCACTTTCCATCAGGTGGGCCGTCAGCTTGTTTGCCATTCTAAGTTGTATAAAAAACAAATATATAACAAAAAAGTTTCATTTCAGTATTATCCATCGTATTGTATCATGTAACAGACTTGTTATCTAGTAAATACATATTATATGTTTTGACAGCTTATCCTTATTATTAATAGAATTGTTTAATTACACTGATAAAATAATATATTTAAAAAAACCCTTTTTTCACACGAATTACCTGCAGACTATGATAGAATCCATTTCCAGTGACGACTTCTGCATAGTCGTCAATGTTAACCGTCGTACTCTGACCCTCAGATTCCACCTCCGATGGCTCGACCAGCTCCTTCATCTTAACATCGTACCACCGTCTCGCGTATGACCAGTAATAGCCCTCCTTAGCTGCTAGTTGTGTTAGAACAGCTAATATCCTGTTTCTTGTAGGTATCGACGTTCCTCGAACGATGTCTTCCAGTATAAAATCTAATTTTGCTTTGGTTTCTTCAATTAACTCATAATGTAGCCACTGAAAAGTGAATCGAATATTAATAGAAACTGTTAGGAAACTATTGTTATGAATATGTATTGATGCAGTGGCTGTAGCACAGTTCAAGATTTGATTTTCACGTCAGTCAAAAAATTATTTCAAGATATTTTAAATATCATCAATAAGTATTTGATAAAGAATTGTAAGAGAAAAATTAAGAACGTTTAAATTTACACTATACCTTAGTTGTAAGACATACTTACAAAGGCATAACCTTCATGCAATGAATCTATGATCGCATAGTCTCTCAGCACTTTGGTGAACTCCGTGCACAAGTACTTATCGTCCAACAGCGTGCTGCGCCTGTTCTCTTCCGGCGCATCGTCATCGTCATTATCGCACGAAATTTTATGCATTAAAACTGTTCGCAGGTACATAGCACGAAACAGAATCTTGGTGGCATCTGCTATAAAGCTGTCTCTCGTGAACTCTTCGACTTCAGCTTCGGCGGATTCATCGACGACTCTCTTGATATGTTCGTTGTCGTCATCAAACGGACAGTTCAGTTTGCCGACGATGCAGTCGTACCGTAACGCGAACACTTCGAGCGGAGCTGCGGCGGCGGTATCGGTGGGGGAGGTAGGGAAGTCGAATAACTGAGCGGTGAGCTCCGCCAGGCTGCCGTCACACTGTAGATAAGGGCACAGCGAGGCCGCGTGTTCGATTCTCGGTATGTCCAATTCATTTACACTGTAATTATACACACAAAATTGGCGTGTTTTATGAGTTAGGATATAAAACGAGCTGAGGGCCCAGCAATGAATATATATTATACTTATTTCATATATATAACATATAACTCTGTTGTCATAAAACATATATTGTCGTACTGTGCACTCAGGCATTCAAAACTCTCGGATTTGTATTGCGACAAGCGCAACAGTTGGATTGCATACAAGCTTTTAATTTGCTATATAACGCTTTTGTTCGTAGTAAATTAGAAAGTAATGCAATTATTTGGAACTATTTATTTGAACTTATTTGGCATTGTAAGTGGTATAAAAAATAAAAGCGTACTTGTGGAATAGATAGGTGTGCAGCAGTGCGCAGGCGCGGCGCAGCGCGGCGGCGGCGGGCGGGCGCGCGGCCAGCCCGGCCCGCCAGCCCGGCCGCGCCGCGCGCCGCCACTCGCCCGGCAGCCGCGCCGAGCCCATACCAGCACACACATACCACCACACACATACCACTATACTACTACCACGCTCACCCTCGCCACTCCCGAATGTTACTATTCGGAATCGAGTCTATATTTTATTTTTTACTAGCGGGTACACATTTTTACAACATATTAAAAAGTGGTTATTGTGATATAATGATAATAGTTGGACATGTAGTATCGCGAAGTTTTTTAAAAGTTATTGATATTTTCTTCAATATTGTAGAACATACTTTTGTTCTATCACCAGTAGATTATACAGAGGACGCGATGAACGATATTACCATATATTTTATAGCATTTTTTACACCTTGAGTTACGTTACTAGAGTTTTAGTAAGGATCCCTAATCTTTTCTAGCAATAAATATAGCCTATGTTACTCAGGGTGAATGTAGCTTTCTAACGATCAAAGAATTTTTGAAATCGGCAAAGTAGTTTTTGAGAGTATTCATTACAAACATACACACAAAAATACAAATCTAAAGATTAAAAAAAAATTAAAAACTATAAAATATTATTATAAAAAACAAAATTAAAAGCTAATTACAAATTCAACAACTAAAAACAAGATTTAACTAAATGCGTATGAGATCGTTAATACATGAAATCAACTAAATTAAATTTGAAATAATAGATATAAACTTTGTAGGCAGATAGTTATGTAAAATAAAAAGTGGAACTCGCTCGTTCAAGAATGAATTTTCAAAGTATATATTGGTTTGCGAGACATGTACACTCAGTACAAGTCTTGCGGATTCTATCTTAAAAAAAAAAATGGAGGAGATATCCTCGTAATTCAGTATAAGTTACCTGTACAAGTAAATCGAGCCGGAAAAGGCTGAACACTAGGTCGTCGTAGTGGGGGCAGGTCGCGTCCGGCAGCGTGGTGAGCAGCTGCGCCGCCAGGCTCGCCGTGTGCGCCACCTGCGCGCGCTCGCGGCCGGTGCAGGCGGGCGGCTCCACCGCCAGCAGGGCTTCGCTGAACATGCGCAGTATCTCCCCGGCCGTGTCCTTGCTTATGAGCATCTCTGCAAGCCGGGTAGGTAGAGTGTGTTCAGGGCGGTGTGTAGTGTTGCGAGGGAGGGTGGCGGCGCGGCGTGCAGACACGTACCTCCGGCGGGCCCGACGGCGGCCAGCGCCAGCAGCAGCTGGCCGCGCGTGGCGGCGGCGGCGTGCAGCAGGCGGGCGGCGGCGGCGTGCAGCGCGGCGGCGGCGGCGCGGCCGCGCAGCCAGCGCCGCGCCGCCGCCAGCGCGCAGCGCGGGTGCGCCAGCGCCGCCCACACGCAGCGCTCGCGCACGCCCGCCGACATCTGTACGCAACCACAGTTACCTACACTAAACGCAAGTACAACTTACAGTGGCAAACGAGCTGATCGGCCCACCTGATGGAAAGTAGTAACCGTCGCCTATACACATGAGCAGTACCATGGACGTAACAGTGTATACTGTTCGCCCATACGTAACCATTCCTATTATTCCTCTGTACCCAGTAAACTCACGCCATATCCCACCCTTCAAAACCGAAACACAGCCGTGCAAACACAGCTGCTTCTCGGTTGAAACACGAATGGAACAAGAAATCGACTTTTGTACAAAGTCTCCCTCTGGTATTGTAGAGCGAAAACAAAATGTGTGCCACTCACCGAGTCGAAAGATTTCATCGTAGCATCCTGTTCAGCTTCCGTCATGTACTTTAAAATAGTAAAAACTATATCTACGACGGACTGACACCCCATAGTGTCGCTTCCGAGCCAGCGTTTTAGAACTTTATCGTAAAATTCGTAAACTGAGTTCGCTCCTAGACGCTTCGCTATTGCAGTACACGTCTCGGCACTGTCGAAATCCATCAACAGGGTAGTGAGGGGCATTAGAACGGGTTCCGCGATATTTTTCTTGTCGACGAACTCGAAGTAGCCGACGCAAATCGTCTCGACCAGTTCGTTCAGGTTGTGTTTATATCGGTCAATAATGATGGGGTCGATCTCGGATGTTGGATTTGTGCGCTCCTCGGCTTCTATCCTCCGTTCATCATCTTGAAATTTTATACTATGCTGTTTTTTAGGCTCCTGAAGGAATGTTGTTTTTAAAGTTTGCAGAAGGAGTATATGACTATCTATGAGTTGGGATGCTTGTTCTTGTTCAGCTGGCAACTTGTCAATTTGAACTACCAACGTAGAGCCAATGTTTTGCCAAAAATTTCTGATTAACTGGTCGTATGTTTCACTGTTGCCCTCTTTGGACTGCTTGAGCCAGTACTTGAGAAGAGCACTCATACTGGTGGCAGAGTGTTTGACGAGGTGTGCGCGCAGCTGCGGCTCGTGGTGCACGGCGAGGGCGTTCTCCAGCCATGTCCTGTGTGCTCCTGTCACCACTTCCACAACGAACTCCTCCTTTTGTATAGACACATATCTGATACAATCTGAGAGACTTGATATCCAGTACTGTCGCTCGGTTTTAGAATTTAATATCGTTTTCTTCTCCAGCCTGTAAAAAAATAATTACGAAAAGTGAAATTTGCAATAAACATTGTAATGGCCTCTTAGTTATGTGGTTGAGTAGCAAATATGGTCCATTGAGCCGGATCAACCAGTGAAACTGGAGAATATATTATTATATTGAGTAAAATTAAAACAATAACAGGTAATATATTTATGGGCGATGATTCACTTCCCATCAGACGAGCCGCCAACTTGTTTGCCATTCAAAGTTGCATAAAGAAAAAAATTAAAAAGATTATTATTAACATCATCATATCAACATTTAACTGTCCACTGCTAAACATAAGGCTCGCCCCAGAGAGGTTTTGCCAGTAGTTGCCACGCTTGGCAGGAGGATTGGCAATGGCAGTTAGACTTTGAAAATGTTTTAAGGGGATCGCTGCTGCCTATCCCTCGCCCTCTCTTAGTCGCTTTTTACGACAACCACGGGAAAGGAAGGGATGGCCTATTCTATGTCGAGACCGCACGTGCAAAAAGATTATGAAGGTGAAATATTAAAATATAAAGAACAAACCCTTTGTAAATGGCTGCAAAGAATTTCAGATAGAAGTCCTTGGTCGTGAGTTGCGGCGGCAGGCCCGCCAGCAATGGAGGCAGCAGCGACGATAGTTGGCGCGCCTCCCCCCATCCACCTGCACAACAATACACCTTCGGTACTATTCACTTTCATGGACCAAAAAAAGCCCATTGTGTTTTGCACCTATCTTCTTTTTAGATACTTTCAAGATGGTCCCATTGAAAATTTATTAATGGAAGTCAGTTTCTTTCTATTCTTAGAACAAAATCCTAATATATAAAGTTATATTAAGGAATAAAATATGCATTGGAAAAAAATAAACCAATGATGTCACGAAGTTAAGCCGTCTGTGAAACATTATATTCTTGATCAACAGGACAACCCAAAATGGTGGTAGTCTCCAATGACATTTTAGTACTTCTGCAATAGGAATCCTAATCTAACACCTAATAAGCTGGTGCATTTACAAAATATGGATGGAAGAAAGATATATATTTCTTTTTGTATCACTGAGACGACAAAGAACCATAAGGGCTACCTAAACCAAGGACATTATGCATTCGTTGCCTCTTATATATCCGTTTTGAAGAACTCCATACTGTAGTCTCTTGGGAAAACCTCGATAGGGAGCTCATTCCACAACCTGAGCGTTCATGGGAGGAAACATTTCTAAAACTACGCTGTACGCGACCATTAAGGTTCTAAGGTATGGAGGTGAATTCCCCGTCGATGGCGAGATGTGCGACAATAGAAACTTGCCATGGGCATCATGTTAAACAATTTTTCTGAACACAACCCCAACGGGTTGATAGATGTGGTAGAACACGCGAAGTGAGACAAAATCTCTCCTAAGACTTAAGGGTTCGTTATAGTTTAAGTCTTAGGATTATTGACAATTCTATAGCTTGTCGTTGCATTGAGTTGAAGGTTTAAAGCTGGTATTGAGGTATTCTCGCCTATAAGTGACAGCAATACTCTATGTGAGGCCGGATTTGGGATTTATGGAGCATTAATTGTTGATCCGGCGTGTGCGGCTCACTTAATAGTAAAAGACTACTTACGCTCATGAGAACCCGCAATACAAGGAATTACAGGTGTACTGCCGGCCTTTTAAAAAGAAATATGCTTCTTTCTGGATTCATGCCATAAAGGTTCAAATATACTGCTGCAGGAGTTGATGCCAATCAACTCGTGCAGCATGTTGAAAGAATGAAAAATGTTAAATCAACTCACCATTTTCTAAGAGATCGAGAATCCTTTTTGTCAGTAGATCGTTCTTATCTAACCATGTGTGCCAGTCCTGCAAATGAATACAAGCATTTAGAATGATAATTAAAAAAAAAAAGTTTTTTTCGAGGTCGACAATGTGGACGCTATAATTCTGGGCTTGGGAGTGCCCCACCTAGTTCTTGTGATATACACATAAAAAATGTGGAGACAGAATAGACAGGGCACACCTGCAGGTTGTGCATGAGCAGCAGCAGGCAGTCCCAGAGCGGCGGCGCGGCGGGCGCGCTGCGGTCGGTGGCGGCCAGCAGCACCCGCAGCAGGCGCCGCCCGTACGCTGCGCCCAGCTCGTCCTTGAACCGCTCCACGAAGCTGCCCATCGCGGCGAACCACGCCGCCCTGCCGTGCACACCGTAATAGTTACGTATAAATCTCTAGGGCGACGAGATGCTAATAATAATAATGCCTTGGAGAGTGGACTAGGTCGAGTGAAGGTGTAGAGCGGGCGACGCGCACCTGACGGGCGGCTGCGGGTGCGCGGCGAGCTGCCACCAGGCGGCGTGCGCCAGCAGGCCCCCCAGGCCGTGCCACCAGGCGGCGGGCGGCGGCGGCGCGTGCTGCGCCACCCAGCGCGCGCCCGCCAGGCTGCTGGCCGCCAGCCGCGCGCTCGCCGCCGACCGCTCCGCCGGATCCGACGTCCTGGCACATACCGTTCTATCGTTACCACTACCACTACCACTACTCAGTACCATGTATTCGGCGCCGCTATGCTAGAGATGCGGCGCGCCTTGTTCGCCTACATGAATATTCACCTCTGAGCGATTAACGCTTCGCCGTTTCCCGTAAGGTTATCGACTAAGTGGGCGATGATCTCCGATTTACAGAACGTGATCACTTCGGGCAGCTTCCTCTCGGGAAACGTGTTCTGTAATAGTAGAGAGAGCAAAGTTAGGGCAGGCCGAGCAGCGAGAGCGCGAGAGAGCGAAGGCGGGGACGGCGGACCTGCAGCGAGTGGTGCGCGAGCGCCTGCGCGGGCGCGTGGTCGTCGTGCTGCGCCTGCAGCCAGGCCGGCAGCAGCTGCCGCAGGTGCGGCGCCACGCGGCGTCCGCACACGCGCACCACCGCGCCGTGGCACGCCTGCAACACACGCCTACACTTGCAATTCATGCAATGATGCTCATTGAAATTTATAATGGGCAGATTAGCTTTCAGGTAACATTTTCTTAGTAAAGATAAAAAAGATATTTATCTTAAAACACCTTTTAAATTCTTATCTTTGTTAAATTTTACTTGAGCATAACTTTTCACTGACTAGGCGTTTCATTTATTTCATCAAAATTGTTGATACTGTAATAGATAGAATGTAGTCGAAATGGCGAAATCCGAGGGATACGCCTTTATATAACGGTGGCATCAAAGTAATCCTTAGTCAACCTGGCAGTTGCAATGTCAAACATTTATATCTCTAGGCAAAGGAGTCCCTGATGAACTGACATAACCCACTTAACACATTCCCTATGAGGCTGGCATAGTCAACCAGGTGCACTGTAGCCTCATCAAAAATTATAAAAAGTTTTTTGAATGAATGTAGACAATTACAAAAAGACAGCGGTCATTGGCATATTTATGGATATTTTCCAGAGGAGCTGGCACCTTAAAAATTTACATTCAGATATGTTTTTGTATATAGCTGAAAGCTTTAATCACATCTTGAGGTGTGCACCCAACAATTTTAAGAGCGAGATGGTCCACCCAGCCCTCATCCTAAATACACCTATGATAAAAGCTAGTGCTAAATAAATATTTATTTTAAACAACACATTTAATTTATACAACATTTATGATTATAGTAATTATGTAGGTTCACCTGTGTTGCCTCCCGAACTTTGCAATCAGTATCCACAGATAATGTCTTATAGAAATGACTCCAGCTGGGCAACACTGCTTCCACTTCATCCACATTGCTTTTGTTCACCAATTCTGTGAGTTCTTGTAATGCCTAGAAATATAAAATACAACAATAATGATATCAAATATAGTAGTGCTAATAAAAATACATAAGGCATTTTCAGAGTATGAATATGTTTAACATATTAAATGTTTATTTTACATTTTACTTCTTTTATTATATGATTATTATGAAGAGCTGACAAAAATAAAGTAAATTTATAAATAAACCTTATTTCTAAAAAATAATTTACTAAAACTCTATTTTAAACTCACTGTTTATACTTATACTCTGTATACTTTATTGAAACAAATAAACATAAATAATTAGTTCCTAATCCCCTTCAACATCTAAATAATGCTTACACAGCATAAAGGACTAGTTTTTAATGATTATATAAATCCATGTCCAGAATGACAAAATCTAGAAAAGTGTGTAATGACTCTCTATTTTCTTTTAATGTCAATATATTTTGTCATTCTGAAAATGAATTTAAAAATTATTAGGAATAAATACCTTTGTCTTAGTAATAGGATCCTTTTTGTTAAGTTTCTTAATGCACATAGAAAACTCTGGACTGAGTCCCTGGTCCAAGGAGAGACTGGCTAATGTTGGGAACAATGGAGGCATCACCTTGCCCCCTCCCAATGAACTAAGTGTGGAGTCGAATTTTCCAGCACTGCTTAATAGGTCTGCACTGCGACCACTGCTCGAAGGCTGTTAATTTTTTTTTTTTATTTCAGAAAGTTTATAAAAGTTTGTACAAATATTATTTCTATGATGTATTGTTGTACTTCACCATGCAAATGAAAGATTTTGCTGTAATGAAAAGTATCCTATGACCCAAGAGTCATCATATATTTAGTACTTGTACTCAACCATCAAACAAAATTTTATAAAAATTAATTGATTACTTTTTCTGTTTTTTTTTTTTTTTACACCATTGATATAGTAAACAAGCATATGGCCCATCTGATTGTAAGTGGTGACTATAGTATATGAATACTTGCAATACCAAAGGCATTATATGCAAGTTGCCGATCCTGAAAAAATCTCTTTAACTCTAGAACTCCTTGCTGTAGTGGCTCATGTTGTGTAACATGTGCAAAACAGTAGTTTAAATTTTTTTTTACATTTACAATTACAAATAATACTTATCATAAATGAGAAAAATAGTAAAGAGAATGTACAAATATTAAGTATATATGCATCAGCCACTAATCGTCCATTGCTGATATAACCTCCACCATAAGGGGGCTTTACGAGTAGTTGTCACTCTTGGCAGGTGGATTGGCAACCGCAGTTAGGCCTTGGTGATATTTTAAGAGGGATACTGCTGCCTATCTCTCTACCATTAAGTTCCCTTAGTCGCTTCTTACAATACCCATGGTAAAGAAAGGTGTGGTCCATTCTATGCCAAGACCACATGACAACATCACAAATACAATAATATTAGTGTCCGACTGAACTTTGGGTTCCAGCTAGTTTTGGCCAGAAATTCTACTTTCTGCCTTAGTTTCGGTTTCGGCCATGCCGAAACTTTGTGTAACAATTCCTTTCTCCCCTAAATTAAGATATTACCTTGTTAATGTTATTTTACTAAACTACCATAATAACACTATCTGTAATATTACTTTGATTATGTACAATAATTAAATAACTCTAGCATAAAACTGCACAACACATTTTAACCTAACTCTTCTATTACTTACTCACAACCATATAAACATAAAAAGTTAGTAATTATGCCTTATACATGTACAAAAATTATATCACTAATATATAAATGTTGTAATTGTTTTCTCATGCTTGTAATGCATAATTAATTTCTTTTTTAAACGAATTTGTGAGAGATAGTGCATTGCAGCGTGTGGCATTGCAATATTGCTTGCATTTGTGAAAGCCTTTAAGTATATCAAGATTATGGAATTCTGACTTCGGAATTCATCTGTTTCTTTACTGCATATGTTGTAGCCAAGCCCCATTGACGAAACATTTATATCGAAACATTATAGAAAAATAGTGTGTTTATTAAAATTACTTACTCTGACATTATTTTTGGTTCTTTGACTTTGTTTACTTTTACCACCCATTATTATCTACGTAGGCGTAGTAAAGTACATTCACTTTTAGTTTCATATAATTTAATTAATTAATGAAAAAGATTGATAAACTAAAAACGACGAGAAATTTTTGTTTTGACATTTCTTTTCAGTGTTGCCAATTTAGTATTGAGTTCTCGGGACGAATTTAATTATCAAAAGTGCTAAATTAGTATATTGAAAATTAAGCTTATTTGTTATGTACATTCTGTTACCATCATCACCATATCACCCGTTATCTGTCTACTGCTGAACATAGGCCTCCCTCAATGACCTCAATAGTGCTTCCCAACAAGTAGGTCTTAAGATCAACATGGCCAGAAATAAAAACATGTCTTTTTTTAAGGGTGATAATGGCATGGTATCGCCTCGGGATACGCTGACGGGACACAAGTGAGGGATGACAGGTGAGGATGATAAGGCAGGTCAGTTAGCCCATCGTGACGAATTCCACTAGAATTAATCACGACGGTTTCCAGGGGGAACCGCGTTGAGGTCAACAAACAACTAACAATCCCTTTTCCCCACTAAAATTATGTCTAACATTCAATCACATATGTTCTATACCAATTATTAGTAAGAACACTACGCTCGAAGTTGTCAACGAGTACTTAGATCTGGGACAACTTATTAGACTCGGTAAATTTATCTTCAATCTTTTTTGATGGATAAAAGTGGAGTGGAATAGTAGCCCCGCCTGCGCTATCGGTATACGCTTCAGCGTATACCGATAGCGCAGGCGTATAATAGTTGAGTGGTTAACCTGTCTGTGTTATCGGTATACACTGGCGGGGCACCAGTGAGGGATAATATATGATGACGATGATGAAGCAGGTCTGTTATCCCATCGTGAGGAATTCAACAATAAATCAATTAAGATGGTTTCCAGGCGAAATTGTGTGGGGGTTGACCTAATAGGGTTGACCCCTATATTGCTATCAACAGGATTGCTAATTTCTGTTATTAACAATCTCTTCTTCCTCTTGATTAAGAGGTTATCCAAAGAATTTAACTCAGCTGGGCAGCTGGGCAGGACAACCTATCTATCTATCCTATTTAAGAGCTGCGCTCTTGTCGGTGGAGCTCTTGCCACTCATTACGATTTTCAGCGAGTCTCTTCACCTCTTGATACGACACGACACCAACTCCTTCCTTGATCTGCCTGATGTAACTATGTCTCGGTCTCCCTCTTCCCCTCCTTCCTTCTATCTTACCTTCTATTATAATGTTCATAAGTTCGTCGTGTCGTATTGTGTCCTAACATTTTTCCCCTTCTGTCCTCAATAGTTCTAATAATTTGTCTTTTCTTAACCCTAAGCAGGTCCTCCTCATTGGTAATTCGATCCCTCCAGCAAATTTTCTCCATCCTTCTCCAGCACCACATTTCAAAGGCTCTAAGTTTATCCATTTCCTTTTGAGTTTATGTCCACTCCTCACATCCATACAAAGCTATACTCCATATATAAGTTTTGATAAGCCGCTTTCTAATATCTTTTGTTATCTTAGCCTGTAAAAGATGTTTTTCGGTATTGAAAGCTTGTCTGACCATGGCTATTCTCGTGACTACATCCGGAGTACATCTGGAATCACTTATGATTAAACTGCCTAAATATTTAAATGTATTTACTTGTTCTAATTGAGTATTGTTAATTTTTATAGTATTATTTTGTTAAGGTTTAGTTTTAGCTATTGTCATTATTTTAGTTTTCAGAAAAATTTAAAGTAAAGGTTGAAAATCGGTATGGAAAATATGAGTTAATCGTAATTAAGTTGACAAAATGTAAAAAAAAATATTTTATTGTATTTTATCTTAAGTTTAACTTCTTTATGCTATTTTGTTAATCCTTATCCAAATAAATACTTTTATCACATTAAATAAAAATGGCGGCCATTTGAATGCTTCTGACATCGAATCTATATTTGAAGTTTATGGATCGTCCGATATCAATTTTGAATGCAATCGGTTAAATAACAAAGTTTGCATAATACCTACTTAATAATATCTCTATGTAAATCTTATATATAAAATTCTCATGTCACAGTGTTTGTTACCAAACTCCTCCGAAATGGCTTTACAGATTTTCATGAAATTTTGTGTGCATATTTGATAGGTCTGAGAATCGGCCAACTTCTATTTTTTATACCCCTCAATGATAAGGGTGACCAACCCCTAAAAAAATTTTTTTTTAACAAAATTTTTTATTTTTATTTATATATGATTTAGGATTAAAAAATACATACAACTTTAAATTTTCATTGTTTTACGATCAACCCCTGTATTTTAATCGCGATTTTTATATTTCGCAATAAGTGGTAAAACAACATTTACGGGGTCAACTAGTATCTATATAAATATTATATTTATATTATGTAAAAAAAAAGGAAAGAATACAAATAATAAATAAATAATTATTTACTAAAAAAATTAACCCCATCGTTTCGGGAATTTTAATTCACTTGTAGGGCTTTTTTTTGCATACCAGTAACATTAAATTTTATGCATGAAAAAATATTAATTCACTCTTGCGCCACTGACCCACTTCTATCTGTTCTCCTTTAACCAAAGTTTGTCTGTAAGAGATTGCCCTAGCGATAACACCGCCTTTTGTATCTTTATGTGTATATTTCAATCTGTATTTATGTTACTGTATTTCACTTGAATTATTTACTTGTCATTGTATATTTTTGTTTATGGTGTAATAGTTAGACAAATAAATTAATAAAAATAGCGCGAAATCTTTAAAAAAAATTTAATAGTTTTATTTATATTTATGCTTAAAATGGAAGATATTTACTGGTTATAAGTAACTTATTTATTAGTTATATTTTTAGTCTTATAATTTATGCTTCTTTTTAGGGCGCAAAAACTTTAATCTTACTTTAGTCAAGATACTCTGTATCTGTTCTAAGATCTATATGAATACTCGGTAAGGCCATCACTACTCCCATTGGTTTTACAGAAAATCAGCGTTTAGGCGTTACTTATGTCTAAACCGGTGTTTCCAACGTGGGACCCACGCCGCACTGGGGACAATTTGACAGTCATAATTTCGTTTGACGTTATGTTTAGCGATTAGAGTCGTCGAGTAAACTTTGTCGGTAAAAATTATGTATGGGAGCATAAAAATTTAAGAAACGTTCAAGTTGGGCATGGCACAAAAAAATTGAGAAACATTGGCCTAAACCATAGACTACCGTACTACGTGCCTAAACACTTGGCTAAGTGTGACCATTTTGGTGGCATAATTTCTAATTAGGTAAAAGATTAGATTATATTATTATAGTTTATATTATGTTAGCGAATTGTCAAATTAGCTTACTCGTTTTTTTATCAGTATTCTATATACTTACGCATAGAATGTGTCTTGACTTATTATTTAATGAATAAAATGAATACACTTGGATTAAAAAGATGCAAAATTTATAAGACAAATTAAATACAGAAGTTATAAAGGAATCACTCATAACTATTTATCATGCAAAATTGAAAAAGTTGACACGTTTTTCTGGAAGCATTTCTATGGAGCCATTCTATCTATATCATTTAAGGGTATAAGTTTATTTTTGTATTTCTTTTTTCTTTAAGTTTATAATTGTTTATGTTTTTGTTGTAATTCTTATGGATTTGACAATCAGCTGATAAAATGTTAACCCGTTTTTGAGGTTCGAGGCTATATATTATGTCAGATTTTACTGTAATTATGTACCTTATATATCTGTAGGTATATAGTTTATAAGTGTGAAATTTATTACCAAAAATAAAAAAAAATACCTAAATTTCTTCGAAATTCAGGAACAAACAAATTTTTACCTGAAATTGCGAAAAAAATATCTAATCTGGAATAGAATACCTGTGGTTCTCCGCATGGCATCGAGTAAGTTTACATTCAAAAGAAAATTATTCAATTATCTGTTAAATTAACAAATTCAGTACTAGCTATATAATACACTGTCATTGTGCTAATGTGTTATATTTATGTATATTTATTATTGTCAAAATATATTAAATAGGTAATTTTATTTTTTGTGTAATATATGTATGTTTGTCATCGGTGCCCTCAAAGGCTTTGTTTTTATGTTTTTTTTTGTAATGGATGATAATGGAATGACAACTCCACCTGCGCTAACGGTAACGTGGGCGGAGCACCAGTGAAGGATTACAGGTAAGAATGATAAGGCCGGTCAGTTAGCCCATCGTGATAAATACACCTGGGATTCAGCACGTTTATTTTCAGGGGGACCACGTGGAGGTAGACCTGACATTGCTAGCAATGGGACTGGTAGTCTGCATTACTAACAACCTCCCCCCCGCCCCCTTTATCTAATGGTTAGGTGATAGAGAATGTCATATGGCATTAAGTTTGCTATTTTTTTAATGTCCAATAGAGTAAATAAATAATCTAAGATCCGTTGTTTTGCGTTTTTGTTGGAATTTAGGGAAATACTTTGTTATAGGCACTTAAATGGAATTTATTTCTTTCAAGGAAACTTTTTTTCTCTATTCTAGTCCTTTTTGTCTTTAACCAGTTGTACTTGCATATATTTTTTTTTTTACAACATAGGGGCAAACGAGCATGTGGCTCACTTAATGGTAAGTAACTACCGCCGCCCATGATCACCCGCAACACCAGCGGCATTGCAGGTGTACTGCCGGCCTTTTAAAAAGAAATATACTCTTTTCTTACGCGAGCTCGACGAGCACTCCCTAAGCGGCGAGCTCGCCACTCCTGAGGCGATCGAGGACGCCTCCACGGCCATCACGGCCGCCAAGAAGGCGGCAACGGTCGCCCATACCCCCTCGGGAGCGGCGGGCGCGTCTCGCCGCCGCGAGAAATTACCCGTCGACCTATACGAAATGCTCGCACAGAAGCGCCATCTTCGTCGCCTATGGGCGCGCACGCGTTGTCCGCGCGTCAAGCGCGATCTCAACTACTTGGCTGCACAACTGTCGGAGGGGGTGCGGGTGTGGGGTGGGGCCGCCTGGGACAATCTGATCGAACAGGCGACCGATCACGACACTAACCTGCACCGGCTCTGCCGACAGTTGTCAACACGGCCACCACCCGTGTGTCCGTTGCTAGACGCGACGGGCACACGAAGGTACGCAGCCAAGGACAGGGCAGACATTCTAGCCAACCATCTACAGGGGCAATTCCAGCCCCATCCCCTTGCCGTTCCCACAGATCCTACTGTCGTCGAGCACCACGAGCGAGTGACACAGCGCGTAGAGGAATTCTTATCGGGCGAGTCCCCGCCGCTCGCAGGTGTCGAATTCATCTCACCTGTTGAGCTGCGGAGGACCGTGGAGCGCCTCCCCAGGAGGAAGGCGCCGGGTCCCGATGGAATTTCCAACGCCGAGTTAATGCAGCTGCCGCGAAGGTGCTCACCAGGCTCTTCAACGGAATCCTCCGCACAGGCCATTTTCCAGAGTCCTGGAAACTGGGTAGAGTGATCGTCCTCCCCAAACCAGGCAAAGATCGCCGTTTGCCAGGAAGCTACCGCCCCATCACGCTACTGGCGCACATAGCCAAACTGTTCGAGAGGTTGCTGCTCCGACGGATGGCCGAGCATTTCACTCCTAGGAGCGAACAGTTCGGCTTTCGGTCGGGGCACTCGACCACTCTGCAGCTGGCGCGCGTGCTGCACCACCTGGCCGCCGAGCACAACCACGGTCGAGTGGTGGTCGGTGTCTTCTTAGACATCGAAAAGGCATTCGACCGTGTTTGGCACGACGGCCTAGTATATAAAGTATTACAATATACCAGCACGCCGCCCGCGTATGTGCGACTGGTGGCGTCGTTTCTCAGGGGCCGTAGCTTCTTCGTTTCGGTGGAGGACGCGCGCTCCGACACCCGCCCAGTGGCCGCCGGAGTTCCACAAGGTAGCTGCATTTCCCCGGCGCTCTACGCGCTGTACACGAATGACATCCCTGTCCTGAACAGCCAGCCCTTTACACTGGCCCTGGAACGGGATGTCATGCTCGCTCTGTTCGCCGACGACACGGGATTTTTCACGTCGTCGTACTGGAAGACGAGAGCCGCCCCTCAAATGCAGCGGCAACTGGACCTGCTGCCGGAGTGGTTGGACAAGTGGCGCATGGCCGTCAATGTTGACAAAACGGTCGCGCTACTTGTCCGCCGCAGTCGCACAGCACCGCCGCCGCCCTTAAGGCTCCTTAATAAGGAAATCGCGTGGGAGAGCACCGTGCGATACCTAGGGGTCGACATCGACCGGTCGTTGAGAATGGTGCCGCAGGTGACGCGAGCCATAGCGCAGGCTCGCGCGGCGCGCGCCTTTCTCCGACCGGTGCTTACTTCCAGGTTGCCGTTACGGACGCGGGTCTCTATCTATAAGACCTACGTCCGTTCACGGTTAACATATGCCGCACCCGCTTGGTACGCACTGTGCTCTCCGACGCTTAGGCGCCGGCTGCAGGCCCAGCAGAACATCGCTCTTCGTTTGTGCACGGGAGCGGGCAGATACGTCCGCAACGACGTTATCGCCCGCGGCTTAGGGGTCCCAACGGTGGAGGAGTTCGTTGTCGGCATGGCGAGCAAAATGTTCGCCCGTGCCGACGGCGGACACCATCAACACTTGAGGGGCCTCGCGCCGCTGCATGCGCGTCCGCCGGACGGCCGTCCCACGCCTAGGGACCTCCTGTGCATAGGCGAATAGTGATCGCGATTGCCTCGTCTACCAGTACGACGACTCCACCTACCCTTTTTCCCCATTTCCCTTCTTCTTTCTCATTCCCTCCTCTCGCCCGTTCCAAGTGTGTAATTATATCCCCCGCGTCCAAGCGGGGGGAGGGCCGACACACTTCTTGTGTCGACCCTTACTAACAAATTATTTATTTACTAACACCTATTATATATATCTGGGAGCGGGCGAGAGGGGAGAATAATAATTAAAAAAAACTATATATTATTAAAATGAAAAAAAAAAAATACATATATATACAATCAAGAAAGAAGAAGAGGCCACTGCAACAAAGAAGACACCACGCCGGCATACACAGACCACCAGTGTATGCCGGCTCAAGATCCCAGCGACCCGGAGGTAGTTGCCTCCGGAGATGCAGCCGGGGTAGAGGGGTTTACCCCGAGACCCCTACCTCACCCGCCTACATTACAAAAGGCGGGCAAGTAGACCCGATAGATAGATAGACTCTTTTCTTGAAGGTTATGTTGTCGTATCGGTTCGGAAATACTGGTTGGTTGGATTGTGGGATATAGTAGTGAAATTATAAAGCACGCACGTTCTGTTTTACTTTGAATTTGGAACTACGTGTCGTCAACTAAATATTCCATCGCTACTATTTTCTGCTCTGCACATAAAAGCGGCAGCTTCAATTGTCGAAGAGGACGTTTCAAGAGATATAAATAAAATAGACACTTGCATTGAAATGTCAATATATATTTTTAATATTCATAAATTCAATATACATTATAATAATATCAAGTAAAATGAATTACTATAATTTATATAGGCAATATTTTAACACATGTTAATCTATGGGTAAGTTTAACAATCTAGAGTACTTACTTATTTTAACAAATGTCCGTGAACCTCGCGTGGGATGGTGAGTGCCGCCCGCCCGCCCTCGCGCCGCGCCGCGTGCCGTGGGCACGGGTCGCCCGTGGGACCGGGGCCCGGGGACACGGGGTTCCGGGGACACGGGGGCCCGGGGACACGGGGCCGGCGGCGCGGCGGGGGACGCGCGGGCGCACTCACATCACAAAATACAACAAACACATTATGGCAATAGGAATTCACATTGGCTTACCGCTACCGCTAAAACTATAAATAGTCATATAATATAAACGATACAAAAGGAAGAAATACTTTTCCGCAATATGCATATTGCACAAGTAACTAAACATTGCCATAGTACATAATGCCATTTTATGTAAAAAATAAAATTTCACTTTGTTATAAAACTCTTTGAAGCCTTAATAATTATATATTTTGGCACATAATTACAACTAAACTAACTAGTACATGTGATGGGATATTTATATATTACAGTGGTCCGCATCACGTCGCAAAGTAAGTAATCTTTGGTTTATCTAGCCCACCGATGACCATTTGGAAGTCACTTATATTAAAATAATAATTATAAAATATTTAATAGTTCCAACAGGACGATTAATCCAATTTAAATTGTCGTACAGCTATATGACGAGGGGGATGTGGTTATTATCCGAATATTAGGCATCCGGCCATTTGGGCGCAGACACAATACTGTTTGATACATGCTCATACCTAAAGTCCTCTCTCTGTACAAGTGGCGAGCGTTTCTTTGTAGACACGTTTACACTACCCCAGACATGCGATGGCACGAGAGACCGGACAGTGCTGTCCCATGCTATCACATATGTGCAATAACGTAAACGTGTCTACAATACATAACTAGATACGTTTGCAACTTGTCTAGATGGTCCGTATGAAGTCTACATGCCTGTAGATCTGAGTGTATAAGTTTTCTTATGTAGATTACGCCTAGTAAGTAGGCATAGCTATGTACTTGTACTGAGTGAACCGCACTTAAATAATGCACGCTCATAGACTCTACTATGGTATAATTATTATGAAAATCACATAGGTACATACTGTTTTTCAATAAGTTATGTGTAATTCGTTGATTAGAAACCTTTAAAAATTAATTTTATCTACTTATAATTACAAAATATAGAAATAATTAGATATCTCTTAATGTATTTTCGCTTAGGAACTTTGTGTTCTAACATATATACTGTAAAAATGAATTTGATGAAGTGTTACGTACGAGCGTGCGGCGGGGGCAACCTGCGCCCGCCACCAATAGACAATGGAGTATGCAGGTACCTATATGTTATGAGCGGTGATTTGGCGTATTTTTTTTTTAATATAAAAGCTGTTATATATTCTATTAGAGTGACAAATACAAATTAAGTACATATTAATTGTAGGACATGTAATAGGTACCCCTAGGTTAATTATTTTAAACTGCACTCCCTAAAGACGAATAAAATTTTCTATTAATAAATTTGCACATTAGAAAGGACAAATTACAAGGATATAAATATAAACAACGCTCATTGAACTTTAGGACTACACACAGGTATATAATACATATATAGTAGAACCTCTTATCGTTACAGTGTTCGGTAAACAAGATGCACATTATTGTCACATATTCGTCGTGTAACTGCTTCATACACTATGCATTGTGTGTTACATAATAATTATAACGATCTAATCATATTTACACATAATACCGTACGCTATTTACAATTACACTATATACAACTTATATCAATATAATCTTTGGACTAACCGCAAAAGTTTTAAACACATCCGAGATCCCATAGGAGTAATATGGAATGCTTTCAACTTAAGTAAGATTGTAACTAGCTAAACACTTACAATTAGAATACGACAAGCTTAGTGCAGGCCCGCGGACGGGGCCTGGCGTATCAAATATTAAATGTCTCAACAACACATGATAGAATTTAAAGAAAATCTAAAAACTTGGAACCTCTGTCTCGCCCTCAGGAACCTGCCTGAATGTTTTGTTAAGCGACACTTGTTTCGTGGAAAATATTGTTGACATTAATGACATGAATTCGACGATTACATTATAAATAGATATCTATTAACAAAAAAAAAAAAAAAATACTGATGCTGTTTTAGAAGTAAAGCTTATAGAGAATGGGAAGCATTTGGCGTGCATGAACAATGTCATGTTAGTAAAAATCAACGTTGCAAACAACTGTGTATATGTATAGTGTACGAACATTCTTCTATGGAAAAGTAAATGCTGCACAGCGACGCTTTACATACATTTTGTGACGGCTTTCTTATGTAAAATCTCTTAATTTGTGATAACAAAAAAACTTACGTGCAATAGCAGCTCGCATTGATATTGTTAAACTTATTATGGTAACCAATGCGGCGCCTGATATTAAATACTTTCTACCTACTAAGTACGGAATCGCGTCGACGCTGTGGTGTGGTGGACAATGTAGTGAACGTATGTATGTACAGTGGACTCTGCTGTCAATCAGTCCACTTGGTGACGAGTACACTACGAGTATAAACGTAACAAGACTCAACTTGCATTGACTGTTGCACATGCAGTCGATTCATGAAGCAAATAAAAAATTAACTGCAGTTCACAACGGCGCCGATCTTATCACCTTAATTATTACGTGGACACTATACAAAAAGAATATCTATAAAATCTATTTGCAATGAGTATTATGCTACAGGTACCGGCCTTTGGGATTGAGTACGCGAAACTTAATTAAATTTAAATATTAAAATAATGGCATTGGCACTTGTTTTTGGTATCATTTGGCACTATACAAATATCATAAATAGGGAATCAAAATTACGTTCTCTCTTACATATAATAAATGGCATTGAGCAATGGCCTTAATTAACTTGGAAACGAAAATACCGGGCAACGAATACTTTATTATTATGAGTATTATTATGCGGCAGCTCGTATTTATTCGTTCATTAACAACACTCTATGAGGTAAAGCCGTTATCAACAGGAGTAGCCGGCTGGGATCGAGCTCGTCACCGTCATTCATTCGAGTGTTAGGTATTCACCGACTGTGTTGATAACGTGAAGTTTACGGCACGAAACAGGCATTGCATGCGTGATTTCGATAATGCGCAGTTGGGTGACGATGGCCACTTGGCACTGTCCCACGCCGCCTAGTCTCTGTAAGGCTTGCATATTGCGAATCTGTGGTTCATGTGCTGGCTGTACGAGCCCGAGTGGGAGAATTTCTTGAAGCACTTGCAGCACTGGAACGGCTTCTCGCCGGTGTGCAGCCGCTTGTGTTCGGTCAAGTGGTGTTTATGCTTGAATGCCTTCGGACACTCCAAACATTTATAGGGACGTTGTCCTGTTGATGAAAAATGACATATTAAAATTATTAAATAAAAAGTCCGGGTTTTAAGGACTTATAGTACCTAGGCATATAGTGTTTACATACATTTGTGCTTGAACTGTTTCTCAGGGTTAAAGTATTCTATTAATTATTTTATATTATTAAGAAATACAAACAATGGAAAATTGTCGTCTATAGACGTAAACAATATCATGCACATCGCTGATATATAGGTAGGTGTAGAGTCGCTTACGGCACCTCTATTGCGTTGCTGTACTATTTTCTTATATCAGAAATGGAGTAGCTATCATTTAATCATTACTATGTAATCATGGATATCTTCAAATAACTAATTAGGGATAATAATGCCTATTATGTATTAACATCTTGGTAAATGGATTTCAAATTTCTCCCCTTTCAGTTTTATTTGAAGTAATGAAGTAATGAGCCTGATAACACATACCTGAATGTTCGTATTTGTGTCGTGCGAGGGAACTTTGTTTGACAAAAGTTTTGTCGCACTGATCACAGACGAACTGGCCTTCTCCCTCCTTATATTCAGCACCCTGCTTCAGTTTACTTTTCTTAAGTACAGTCGCATCGTCTTCGAAATCGTTTGCGGGATGAGACTCGTCTGCCCAGGACGGCCGCTCGTACGACGGACTCGACGCTCGACTGATGTCAGTTGGCATCTGCATATTGAGCAGAGGCGATCGACCGTTTGCCATATCATTATATTGAATAAATTTGTCCATAGGCATCATCGGTGTAACTGCTATATTACGTAGTAATAATCTTTCTCTTTTTTGAGCATTCATAGTTTCTCCAGGCGATGGAGATAGTCTAAAGTCAGTGAGAGAAGAAGAGGAGCAATTGGAATGTGGATAAGTGTTCAAATAGTTGGTACGGTGTGGAGTCGTACTGCGCGATGATTTTTGACTGAGGTTCACCGCTTCCTCCGTGTCGGAATGTGTAACAGAAATGCTACAAGGCGGCGACGGCGACGGACTCGACGTCACCGACGGATTCGACTTCTTAGTAGACAAGTCGAGTGGCTGGTCAGACATGGCCAAAGTTTGTGTCATCCGCCGCACTCTAGCTCTATTGTTTTGAAACCACACTTGTACTACTCTGTTGTCTAGTCCAATTTGCTGAGCGATTTTTTTAAATTCTTCTCTGTTTGGTCTCGGGTTTACTGCGTAATGTTCTTTCAAGACTGCTTGTTGCTCTTCACTCAGTGCAGTACGGACTCTTATTTTTCTATCGTTATCATGTATAGATATTTTATCATCGCGATCTTCTCTTATAAAATCTTCGTCTTCACTTGCACTCACTCCGCTTTGTATAGAGGCACGAGCTTCTGCTTCTAATCTGTTCAATGCTACCGTTTCGGCTACTTGAGCTGCCAAACCTTCGTGTTTTCTAAATAAACCTCCACATACTACTTTCTCGTGGTCCAGTAAGTCACTTTTATTACTGAATGTTTCGTTACATTTCATACACCTATGGTTATCTTCGGGCTCTTCCTTAACAATTATGTGAGGTGTCGGTGGCGATTCTATACTAGGGCATATATTTCCGGACACAGGGGAAAGCTTTTCTATGTTTGCCCTAAAGAAATGTTTGGTCACTGATGCATTAACAGAGTCTAATATCGTGTTAAAGCCAGAATTATTATTATTAACTTGATGGCCGTTGTTATTTAAAGGGACGGAATTGAAATTACGGGAGGGTGATCTTAATTCATTCTCTCGGTCTTCTTGCTCCTTCTTTATAGATAAAGCTTCATCATCCTCGATGTCCATTACGAGTTCTGCACTCCCTTCTGAGCGTTTGTCGTCTTCTTCTGTGACTTCTTCGATCATATCTTCTGGATCTACGGGAGTGTTCACGTGCTTTGGGCTAATTGGGTTCTCCATCTCTATCTTCCTTTGTTGATACTGAGATGATGCCAATTGTTCGAAAAGTTGACTAAGAGAAGTAGGAAAACTATAAGGTGTAATTCCACTAGCAGGACTCAAAGGCATCCCAGGTGGCATGTAGAAAGGGTTGATGCCAGGTTGGCCGAGCGGCGCCCGATGGAAGTTATTCTCTTGTGACGACATAGAAGCGAAGAAAGCGGCTGCTGCCTCGTTATACTTAGGTAAAATAGGCAAAAACGAGCTCCCGTTTGGTTGTATGTTGTTGTTAAGTTGAGATGCGACCATGGCATTAGCTCGCTTTCTCGAAGGACTTCTTTCTGGGTTGAGGGCTGGGTTGTTTGGTTTGATTCGTCCCATTTTTAGATTCATGACGAGACATTTCTTGGAGGTCATATGGCTCGAATAGGAGCCCGAATGGGAGAATTTTTTACCACAGTTGGCGCATTCGAAGGGTTTCTCGCCGCTATGTATCCGCAGGTGTTCCTTCAGATGATGTTTGAACTTAAACGCCTTGTCGCAGTCGTTGCATTTGAATTTCCGCAGCGTGGCGCTCTCGTCGTGACTGATCATATGCCGCTGCAGTCGGTATACGTTCGCGAAGCTCTTGTGGCATATCTTGCACGACTGTTGAGAGAACACAATACGATTAATAATTTAAATGTTATTGATACTTATAAGTAATTTCCGGAATGGAGTTTAATAAATCTTTCTAATTTACTTTACATTACAGACTGTCTGTTTGTTCATATATTACATTTTTATTATTGAAGCTAATTGAATATATGTTGATACATTGATATTTTGAAGTCCAATCATGAACGTACATGGAAACATAAGTGTGTGACTTCTAAAAGAACTTCTGTATGGATGTTTATATGCAGTTCACTTGTTTGTCATCAAATATCAGTATAGAGGTATGGGCATGTTATTATTACAAGGTGCACTGACATATTTGAGTGTATCCACCTGTGTGTTGGGCGAGTGCAGGGTCTCGTGTCGCTCGAGCTGCTCGCGCGTGGGGTACGCGCCGCGGCACTGGCTGCACGTGAAGGGCCCGCCGGGGCCCAGCGGGGACCCGCCCCGCTCCTCCTCCTCCTCAGATGGCTTGCCCTCCGACCCGCCGCCGGCCAGCGGACGGACTGCAATAATCAGAAATACATCTCATGTAGATAAACATTAGGTAAGTATCAATACAGATGGTGTCCTCAAGGAGGACGTGTGTAAGTAACAGGTACGCAGTTCTCTTAGTAATTATCCTAATTAACGCCAGGTTAACTGGTCACCGTGTGGCTCGGCATAGAGTACGCCACCCTTTCCTTTTCTGTCATCTTACACTACGTTTGTCCGAACGGGGTCGCTATTCAAGAACCTTTCTTCTCTTTTTGTCGGTTCACTGAGTTATGTGACTAGCCCATTGCCACTTCAGCTTGCTTATCCTTTCTCTTTCAGATATTTTCTTTATACAACTTAGAATCGCAAACAAGTTGACGGCCCACCTGATGGAAAGTGGTAACCGTCGCCTATAGACATGAGCAGTACCATGGACATAACAGAGTATACTGTTTCGCCTATGATACCCCCCATGTGTTGCCATTCCTGAGGACTCAGGTGTTATTCCTCTATACCTCTACCCTGTAAATTCACGCCATATCCCACCCTTCAAACCAAAAGACAGCCATGCAAATAATGACTTGATGTAGCAACCTACAAAGTAACTACATAATATTGTACCTTGTATACATCATGCAACGTAAGTGTCTACTAAATTTTAATTCGAAACTGTTCGATGCTGTGAAACGCACCACCTGCACTTGTTTTTAATAACACTGCAATAAATAATGCGAAATTTGTAATTCCAGCTGCTGCTGCTGCTCGGGCACGTATCATTAAATGCCAATTGGATATAACACAATTAACAATTGAAGTCATCGAAAACGATTAAAATGTTCGCGGACACCTTTACGGGCGCGCTCGCGTTATAAAAACAAACACGGCGGCGTGCGCCGCGCGGCGGCAACAATTCAATTCACGAGTCCGGTTATTTGCGTAATACGGTCCGTTTTCGCGCGTAATATCGTTTTTTAACGTGCCCGTGGCGGGCGCTCGCCGTAAATCAAATATAATAAAGAGCAAAACAACGGTGCGACGTATTAATTAGTGCGGCCGTGAGCCACCAGTGCTACCAACATTGCCGAGTTACGGACCTACATTACGTGCGAGCTATGAAACAAGTTCGTACCGAAATCGGGACGGGTAGACCGAGCTTCACTTTGGCTCATCACAAACGGTGCTATAAAAGAACCGAAAGACTGTTCTTCATTTTATTATCAATTTTGTTTTTCCTTTTGAAATTTCGTATATATGTCGATGGGAGTATGTGAGTAGGCTGTCTGTCGTCGCGTCCAACGCAGCCTCTGTTGCACGTCCGTGCACATATTTTGGTCGAACATAGCCGGACATCGATATTGGATTTTAGAAAATATGTCGTCGGAAATAAAGTATTTATTGTTCTTCAATCGGGAGCTCTGAAAACCAAAGTGATTAATTCCTAGTGAATTCGTCACGCTGTCCAACTAATAGATCTTATTTCATTTTCATATATTATCGTTCTCTGGTACTGGTGGTAAAGCATTAGTCCAGGCGGGGTCACCATAACATACCATCTTTTAAATAAAAACTTTAGTGTGTATTCGGTATACTAATATTTTTATCAACAGCCAATGTCCTAGATATTGCTGTAAAAAAAAATATAACTACCTATTTAATTATAACCTAGAACCATAAGACTCCAAAGGTCGTGGGTTCAAACAAATGGCCAATACGAAAATTAACTATCAATTAAAAATAATAAGGCCAGTAAGTATTTAATAATTACTAGAAAATTAGTGATAGTAGGTATACATAGGAACAATTAGAGAAAAGAGGAAAATTACAGTCACAATGACAATAGACGATTACCTACCATATTTGAAATTACGGTTACGAAGTAGTCACATTATTTTTATTAAGAAATCTACTTAATTTTTTCTTGAAGTTACCAAGTATAAAAATGCCTATGATTAAATTTAACTCTACCTAAGTTTCATGCTACCCAGCAATAGATGGCGCTATGTGTCGAATATTTATTATGCGCATTATGTTGGTATCTCTAAAGTAACACGATTTTTTTTTAGTAGATAATAAACATGAATGAATTACATACTTTATTTAAAAATTACACCCATTAAAACTTTAGTATATAAAAATATGCGTTTATATACCCGCCTAATTGGTACCATTGCATTATTATACATAATAATACAACTAAAAAATTCTACTTAATTAAATATACTTATGCGATGTGCTAAAGGAACATTTAATATGTAAAGAAAACTATAAAGTGGTAACTTCTTATCAAATGGACCAAGTCGTAGTATATATATTACACAGAGAAGTACATAGGCTACTCTGTGTTTTAGTTAATCAAAGTACATATTCCATTCACCTATTACGTGGACAAACTCCGGATAGAATTAGTATGTAAAAAAAAATATGTATATTTACATACCAACTTACTTTAATAAATTAATATATTTTGTGTCCTTTTATTGTTACAGGGATGAGCAATGCTTATTTTAAAGTATAAAATTTATCTATTCATGGCATATATAACAGGCTTTAATCTTATGTTTAACGACGATTATATTATCATTTATTCATAAATAAAATTGTATTAATATTATTATCGAGTTGCCTTTTTGACATTTTATGAGTTAAAACGAGCAATACAAACTTATAAATTCAGTAATAAGTATAAAAGCTTGTCATGACGATTGGATATTTGTTATTTATCGTGTATCAAAGATTAAATGGATTTGAATGTTGGTAAAAAAATAAAATACCTATACACCTATATTAAGTACTAAGTACATAATATTTTGATTCCAATTTCCCGTATAATTAGGGGTTACAGGTATACATAAGTACCTATATACATTGTTTTTAACAAAACGAGTGGGTGAATGTTTATGTATTATATTTAGGTAATGTTGTATTATGTATCGAATAAAGCCTCTATTGCAAACCTAGAAATATTTGTTACCTTTTTTTAATAACACGGAGGGCAAACGAGCATGCGAGCGAGCGGTTCACCTCATGGTAAGTGACTATCGCCGCCCATGATCACCTGTAATACCAGAGGTATTGCAGATGTGCTGCCGCCCTTTTAACCTATTTTTGTTTTTATTACTTTAAGATAAAAACGTAGACCCCTTAACGCACGCATTCAATTTATGAATGGACTATTTTTTCTAATCACATTTTATTTATAGACTACCGACCCATCCCGGCTTCGCACGGGTGCAATGCTGATACTAAATAGCGCCGACCGGCCAGCCCATTAGAAACCTTTAAATTTATCAATGTTCCTCTACTATATTATGCATGTATTATACAAATATTATACATATAAACCTTCCTCTTGAATCCCTCTACCTATTAAAAGAAACTGCTTCAAAATCCGTTGCGTAGTTTTAAAGATTTAAGCATACATAGGGACGGACAGACAGCGACAGCGAATTTGTTTTACAGTACATGTAGTGATATGGAAAGCCTAAAAAAATTGCGCATGTCAAGTGTTATGACTACCTGCTAATGGACTCTATTAGTTAAATTATAATAGTCAATAAGTATTCACTCGTAGTTCTGTCTTGTGAAGAGTTGTTTGTACTCATGAACGTACCTATTTATTTATATTTGTATAAAAAAATTGCCACATGTGTGAAACTTATTATTTTATAAATTTACATTTATCTAGTCACAGAATATTATTGCTTTAAAAATTAGAGAAACGCTATTGGTAAAATTTAGTGCCGCCGCTCCCCGTTAGATGGCGTTAGTGGTAGCTATCTTTAATACAGGCTTAGGGAAGTTTTTATTTACACACTATTGTTTATACTCTGTTATTATATATTATGTAAATGTTATTATTTTGACATTTATATCATTAACAGACGTAAAAATAAGTAGAGGTGTTATGGAACTCGCAATTTATGTAGTGAAATGGTAAGGGTGTTTCTACGTAATTTAGTATTTACAAAAGTATTTAGAGTTAAGTTACCTACCTATTGTAATCACAATAGCATGCTCATCTGGTACCTAATAGGTAAAACGGACGTACACCTACACACGACAATAGTGTCGACGCTACAGTAATCTGTGCACGGCCAGTCGGGCACCGGCCAGAGTGCGTCCGTTAACCGCTGATAAAAAGCTCACGCACACGAGCGCGACGCGGTTCCTATTGCGTTGTTACAATAAATAACAAATTATCGCACCCGTACACGAGCACCTACCACACCGCCACAGATAAGAGTACGATTGTCGATTGCACACAAGCGCGCGTGATAGGCCACACCTGTCCGCGGCTGCGGGGCCGCGCCGAGCTCACTCACTGTTGCACGGAGCTAGCCTCTTCTTGGAAAGGAAAAACTCCGCCTGCCGCGACTCGGGCGACGTGTTCAATTGTTTTCCATCGTGAGCCGCGCGAGTAGATTGCAGTGGCGTGACGAGTGAATTATTAAACCGTTTCACCGCAGGTTATTTGTTCAATTTTATTGTTGTGTGATTTATTTTATCACTGAATGTATCGCTGTAGTATCTGCGTAAATTAAGGTACAAGGTTTCATGTGTTAATTTAGGATAAGTATGGTCCGTCCGTGTAGAAACTTTTCATCGAAAAATATATTCGGCTGTTTAAGTATCTATGTTTTTTTTAATTTTTATCTATCCTTGCACATTTATATTACAGATACGGATCATTAATTCATAATTTACAAAACTACAAGTTTCAATTAATTACGTCATTCCCATTGCAAGCTTGTCATATTGTATTCTAATTTCGAGAGCGTAGCGTTTCCTAATATAATAATAATAATGTTTAAAAGTTATATTAATTTATAACAACAATAATCACGTGACTGCTAATTATTATTACATTAATAAAATCCAGCATTGGAGATTATTTATATTTTAAGAATTCCTCAACACTATAGAAGCCCTACTCGACGAGCCAGTCTTTCAGTTTCTGTTTAAATGAATTTAGACTGCATGCAGCAGTTACACAGTCAGATAATTTATTATACAATATATATATAACTGAACCCATCACATTATTAAGCATTACTTGCTGTATAAAACGTGTTAATTAATTAATTATATAATTTCCGTTTTAAGTAATTTATTCGTATTGCAAATTATATACCTATATAGAGGGGAAGGGATTGTTAGTAATAGGCAGGTTAGTCCCCACCGTTATCAATATTGACCCTATCAGGTCGACCTCCACAAGGTTGCCCCCGGAAACTATTGTGACTAATTTATCATTGAATTCGTCACGATGGGCTGACCTGCCTTTTCATCCTCACCTATCAACCCTCACTGGTGCCCCGCCAGTGTATACCGATAGCGCAGGCGGGGTTACCATTTCATTATCATCCATCAAAAAAAAAAAAGCTTATATAAATTAATGTTATTTAGTATATTCTTTCGCCTGTTTTCAATATATGAATACCTATCTATTTCATTGGATATTTCTGTATTTCTGTTGCTTTAGTTTAAGAACATAGTATTTTACATATTTCGACAATATCTTATTACGTACCTATGTCTATTGTAAATACCTATCTAGCACGAAATATGTATGATTACATTTTATTATTTATTCATTATAATAAAGTACACAATTGGTTTAATTTCTTAATATTGGGTGCTTAATACGTACTCTATCGAATTTTATAGTAAGGCTTGTATTACATACTAGCGGCTCGTCCCGGCGTCGCACGGGTGGACATTTTTACATTTTAAAAAGTGGCCATTAAGGCTGCACACGCGACGAAAGCTTAAAAATGGAGTAACTTCTCCCGTTTTCCCAACATTTCCCTTCACTGCTCTGCTCCTATTGATCGTAGCGTGATGAAAAGTATACTATAACCTGCCCAGGAGTATGAAGAATAATTGTACCAAGCTTCGTTAAAATCCGTCGAATAGTTTTTGTTTCTATAACGAACATACAGACAGATAGACAAAAATTTTACTGATTGCATTTTTGTCATCAGTATCGATCACTAATCACACCCTGATAGTTATTTTGGAAATATATTTCATGTACAGAATTGACCTCTCTACAGATTTATTATAAGTATAGATATAGGTATGTCGACTGCAACTATTAACTCTGGGGGGAAGGGATTGTTAGTAATACGAACAACCAGTCCCATTGCTAGCAATATACCCTGTCATATCTACCTCCACGCGGGTCCCCTTGGAAATCATCGTACGGAATTCCAGGCGTATTCATTACAAGGGGCTAACTGACATGCATTTTCATTCTCATTTATCATCCCTCACTGGTGCCCCGCCAGCGTATACTATTAGTGCAGGCGGGGGTATAAATTCATTAAAAAAAAAAAAAAAAACTATGAACTCTTTGACATAAACTCGCTTTTAGAAATAAAATTATCCCTTTAAAGTGCAATACCTATCGTTTACAACATTGGCGCTGTAACGGCAGGCGCCTGTCCGCGGAGAATCAATGTCCAAGTCATCCGTAGATTCTCTGTTGGTAATAATGAGTAATGCTTGTATCCGATGACACAGAAATTAAATCCCTATAAATAAATGAGAATACCTATGTAGGTATCTAAATATTTTTGTTTATAATCCTTTAATACATACAGTTAATAAGTATATAATAAAATAAAAGATTGGAAGAGATCGCTTTAGCGATAAGACCGCGTTTTGTACTTCATAAGTATAATACATATATATAGGGGGAAAAGGGATTGTTAGTAATGGAGACTGAGAATCCCATTGCTAGAAATATACCCAACCAGGTCGACCTCCTCGCGGTCCACCCTGGATACTATCATGGTTAATTCCTGATGAATTCATGATGGGCTAACTGGCCTGTTTTCATTCTCATCTATTACTCTTCACTTATTGGTGCTCCGCCAGCGTATACCGTTAGCGCAGGCGGGGTTACCATATCATTTTCACCCATAAAAAAACATATATATATATATATATATATATATATATATATATATATATATATATATATATATACTTATTTGTAAATAAATAAATGCCAGATCACTATGGAAATCGAACATTTTCCTTCGTAATATTTTAGGATTACTTAATACAATAATTGATTGAATTGTATTTAAAACATATTAATAAAAAAAAAAAATTAAATTCTATTACCTACATAGCGTGGGTATTCGTAGTAATTAAACAATGATAAATAATCTAACATATTTCGTTTTCTTACACTAACAGTAATTGTTTATATTTATAATAAGTTTACTATTGTAATCTTTTGGAGGAAACAATAAAGAATATCTATCTATCTAACAGTAGGAATACCTATATTCTTTTTATTGCTTATTTTATTCACCATCATTATTTACTTCTTCGATTTCTTTAACCAGATCAAGTGTTAATGTATTACAATAAATCGCATACCTGCATTAGTCGGCGTAAGTTCCTTCGTTCCTTCCATTGGTAAATTTTTAAATCTTATAAATTTATAAAATTACACACAATTAAAAAAAAAAAAAAACTTCACCGAATATAAGTAACTTGTGAATGTGTAAAGTGTTTTACTGTACTGCTTAACTGCACTCCAGATATAGACGTGTATATTCAATGAAAGCGTTAGTGACTCAATGAATGAGTCGCGACTCGAACATTAAATAGCTGTTTAAAGGTACATATATAATTAGGATACTGGTAATTATTTAATAACATTTGAACAAATATATTAATGCGCTACAAGCCCAAGTCGTGTTTGCACTACCTAGCGTTAATTTCGTCTATGTAAACAAGTAATTAGTTGGTATTTAGCTTGTCAAATGTGTCGTTTCCGTAAGTAGAGACTTTATAGGCCGTTGTTTATGTAATTGATTGGAAAATATCTATCTTAAGTACCTATCTAATAAGCAAGTATTTACAAGTAAAAAGTGTTTACTAAATCTTAGTTACAAAAATGTTGGTTTGCTTACTAATTGAAGTTTTATTTGTTGTGTTCAATTAAATATATATCCAATATATAGGTTGTAATATTAAATGAATATCATGATATTCCATTATTGTAGATAATTCTGTGTACGTCCGTATTGTTGATAACGTTATCGTTTATAACTTTTAAATAATAAATTGCAATTAATACCTTAACAAATATAATATAATTTTGAAATAATAATGAAACTCGTGATTGTTTGTAGAATTTTGGACAAGAATACCTGCAGTTGTTTTCTCTTATTTTCACGTAGTATACTCGTAGATTTTTGTATGTTAAAAATCACCTCGTTACACCACCCTTTGTTAAATGTTGTAAACTTATTACGATGACTGTCTAGTACATGCAAATTGATAAGTAAGACATTTTGGTGTAATTAGGAATTTCTAATGTAACGTTATCGTTAATTTTTAACACTAATTATTACTGAAACTACTATCTCTCTGTCCGACTGTCGACCGCTAACACTGATAAAATGACTTTGTATTAATTTATTCATCCGCGTTCCACGAACTCTCTCGTCTAAAACAACGCACTGTGATCGTCCGAAATTCCGCGCGCATCAAACGGCCCTATTATTTTATCCACTCCAGACAGGCGGCACTCACAGAAAGGAAATAAAAAAGAATAAGGAAGAAAAAGCAAATGAATTAAAACAACATAATCATTTACGGTTTAAGACGGCGAGCGAGCGGGTTCCCCTCGACAAACGAAACTTTCTTTCAAGTCTACGCGTACCTGTTCCCGATTCTCAAGTGGATGAATTATATCTCGGGGGAGACGAGGGGAGATTACCGCCGAGGTTATTTCTAATGAAGACGTGTTCGAGTTTTATTTTTAATGCCGCTCACGTGATCTTATTTTCACTTTCACCTGAACATGTTATGTTCGTTTCGTTTACAAAAGTTCGAACTTTCAAGATCTCGCCACTTTTCACTCGCGACTTCACAATTTTATTCGGGGAGCGGCACAAACTTTATTGTTATGACTTTCGACGAACACAATTTAAATTTATTTCGATAAAATGATAAAAAAAATTGAAATAGATAAGGGACATAGAAATACATATGATAATGATAAAATGCAAATAAAAACAAAAGAAAGGAAGCTTACTCAAGGCCGCGAGCCGCCTGGCCGAGGTGGTGGAGGTGGGCACTTGCTTACTCCTCATGTCCGCAAGCCAACCGGCCGCCAAGCTTTCGTACCAACCGCCAACTCCCATAAGCGAGCTGTGCACTTTCATCGAGCTACACGTCTGTTGCACACCGCGAGCACACTGTGCGCGGGCACGATCACGGGCTATCTACCGCGGTTAGCACTTCGCGCGCCGGTATCGCATCTACGTCGTATCGTACTTCACCGAGATTTCACAGCCTCCGCTGACGTCAGCGGTAAAAGTCCTAGCTTCGACGGTGCAGGGACACGTGCTCCGAGGGCCGTGTCGGTGCGCTACTCACATCGGCAGGCGCCCCACACGTTGGCCAGGCTCCACAGGCGGTACGAGTAGCTGTCACCATAGCACCCGAACATGCTCTCATCGGTTCTCGCGACCATGGCCCGCGCGCGCGGACTGACGTGCTCGTTTCGGCGCGGCGCGCGGCGGAATGAGTCCGGCCCGCCTCTCGCCCCGCCCTGCGCGCCCGCTCCCCGCGCCGCCAGCCTCCCGCCGCCCGCCGCCGCCGCCGCCGCCGCCGCCGCCGCCCGCCGCCCGCTGCCCGCCGCCCGCTCGCGGCCCACTGCCCGCCGCCGTGGCCGCCGTGGCCGCCGTGGCCGCCGACTCGACCACCCCCCACCTATACTTAATTAGTAGAGCCGACTGCCGAGTGCGTATCGGTACATTCACTAAATAATCATACACAATAACCACCTTTCACTAAACAATCTTGTAATGCAATTGTTTCTCTTAAATATGAGCTGCATTATTTATATTTTCAATCGACAGTTACGTGGATTTGATGATACTGTTTCGCGATCAAAGCTAAGTACACGTCTCTACTTTACTGAAGATCATGAAAATAAAGTTACGTTGTACGCACTGCCTACGATATATAGGTCATCGTGTTGATGTTTGATAAGGTTATCGATAATTTGTTTTTACGTCACATTACTACACGATTACATTATTTTTATTATAATATACTATTTAACTTATTCAATACGAGTATTAATATACTTTAGAACAGTTTAATAAGTTCTTAGCGAGTTCGTCCGGTATTTACATGTTTAGTTCCGCTTTCGGTCACAAGATGGCGTTAGGAGTCGCGCCGTTGGCAACAGATTACTACAGCTGCAGTTGTATTCAACAAAAGTCTTTCAATTATTATGAAATATCAATTTTACACTGCTACTGTTTTTCATACAAGTGCTATAACATTATCATAATAATGAATAAAAAGACAATTACTATTATTTTATCAATAATTGATAAAAAATCTAATTCTATTTTTTCTAACTATGAAAATTTATTGTTCCTCGTATTGTACCTTATCTATGTACATAGTCTATGTAATTATAATACAATCGTTATAATCCCCTTTGTTTTCTTAGAAAAATAACTTTTTATGTTGTTTGTGCTGAGATTGTCGGCGGTAGCGTAGCCAGAGGTGGCGCAGAATCTGATTAGGCATAGTTATCTAATAGTAATAAGATAATAGTCTCGATGATTAATTATACTGCATTGTGAATAAAATACGGGGAGTATCGTGGGCGAAACAGTATACTCTGTTACGTCCATGGTACTGCTCATGTCTATAGGCGACGGTTACCACTTTCCATCAGGTGGGCCGTCAGCTTGTTTGCCATTCTAAGTTGTATAAAAAAGAAATTCAATTATTAAGTTGCTTTTTTTTTAATATAATAAAACTGTACCTAGATATTGTCTGTATGTGGGAGATATTTAAGAAAAAATAATATGACGAGTTATAATGAGAACAGTTGAAGCTAAAACAATGATTTTTAGAAAATGTGTCTGTCTGTCCTTGTGTCTGTCTATGTTTGTTAAGGCATCGCGACAATAGTACAACACCAAATTAAATATTCATTTTTTTTTTTTACAACACAGGGGGCAAACGAGCATGCGGCTCACCTGATGGTAAGTGACTACCGCCGCCCATGATCACCCGCAACATCAGCGGCATTGCAGGTGTGCTGGCGGCAAATTCATGAACGTCAAATAAAATAAAATATATATATATATAAATATTCATTTTTAATATGAAGTAAATAATCATATGTTCAAGCTTACCTATAGATATATTTATGCACAAATACCTATACCTTCTTATGATATGTAGGTTAAATAAAATAAATTATTCCTTTCCTTCTGAAAAATTAATACATGCTATGCTAATCAGTAATTAAGTGGGGGGAAAGGGATTGTTAGCAATAGAGTTTGACAGCCCCATTGCTAGCAATATGCCCTATTAGGTCTCTCGCCCCGCCCTGCGCGCCCGCTCCCCGCTTCGCGGCCCGCGGCGCCCGCCGCCCGCCGCCGCCGCATATTGCTAGCATATTGCTAGCAATATGCCTTATTAGGTCGACCTCCACGTGGTTCCCCCTGGAAACCATTGTGAACAATTGCCGTGCCAGTGTATACCGATAGCGCAGGCGGGGTTACCATTCCATTATCACCCACTAAAAACAAAAAACAAAACCAGTAATTAAGCCAACTACATGCTTGAACTATTTGCATGAGATAAACATTGTAATCATAGTGGATGTCTCGTTGTTTGCTCCAGTAAATAAATTTAAAAACTAGTGTACGTTTTGTCTTCATACGTCATTTACATGTAGTCAATTAGTTTCGTTAGTTAGTGGGTTCATTATTTTACCTAATCATGAAATCCACGCGTATAAAGTAGCGGACAAAAAGATTGTTATTTTTTTTTATACAACTTAGAATGGCAAACAAGCTGACGGCCCACCTGATGGAAAGTGGTAACCGTCGCCTATACACATGAGAAGTACCATGGACATAACAGAGTATACTGTTTCGCCTATGATACTCCCTATGCGTTGCCATTCCTGAGGACTCAGATGTTATTGCTCCGTACCCAGTAAATTCACTGCCATATCCCACCCTTCAAACCGAAACACAGCCATGCTAACACAACTGCTTCACGGTAGGAACACGAATGGGACAGAGGTATCCAAGCAATCGACATTTGTATAAAGTCTCCCTCTGGTAAAATTAAATAAAATATCTCTCTTTTGCGCTACTAATATATGGAGCTATTAGTTATATGTATTTTCAGGTATGTCTTTGTAAAACTCTGTTTGTTTCTGAAGTGTACCCGGTTCTCCTCTGACCACATCTATGATTGGGACATCCATGGTTCTATTCTGGCACTTAAGCCGGTCACCACTTTCTGTTACGAGAGCCATCAGTTTGTCATTCCAGGTGGGATGGAAAAATTCTATTGTTTACTAATATATGAGTACCGGGGGGAAAGGGATTATTAGCAATAGAGTTTGGTAGCCCCATTGCTAGCAATATATCCAACCAGGTCGACCTCATCGCGGTTCTCCCTGGAAACTATCATGGTTAATTCCTGACGAATTCATCATGATGGGCTAACTGGCCTGTTTTCATTCTCATTTATCACCCTTCACTGGTGCTCCGTCAGTGTATACCGATAGCACAGGCGGGGTTACCATTTCATTATCACCCATTAAAAAAATTTATGAACACCTACTGCCTATTGTTGCACGCGCCTTCTTCCAATTGTTTCCGGCGTACTATAGAAATGTATATATCTGTTATTTCCATTCAGGTTGTGTCTGTCACATATACTATTCAGGTTGTGGTGTCACATTTGTTGGAGCACCGTTTGCAGGGGGCCGTAAATCACAGGTCGTGTCGTGTAACGCGAGGAACCGCCCGCCGGCCGGTGCAGTCGGTGCACTGTGGAAGACAATCGTGCGTACCTCGGTGCACGTGCGACGCACGTGTGCTCCTCGCACCGTCCACACAATGTGCCCGTCCCGCCGCGGCAGGTCTGCCACACCGCATCATCGCACCTCACGTTTTGTTTTACTTCGCTTTGTAACTCAAGTTTTTGCGCTATCCATTGGTATACGCTGTCGTACATAGTGATTGATGATACGGGAGGATGAAGTGACATCTGTCGGTTTATAGTGACGAATTCACCATGGATTAATCATGCTGGTTTCTACAGAGGACCACGTTAGAGTTCGATCTGATTAAGTTTTTTTTTTATTATACAACTTAGAATGGCAAACAAGCTGACGGCCCACCTGATGGAAAGTGGTAACCGTCGCCTATAGACATGAGCGGTACCATGGACATAACAGAGTATACTGTTTCGCCCATAATACCCCACATGCGTTGCCATTCCTGAGGACTCAGGTGTTATTCCTCCGTACCCAGTAAATATCCCACGCCATATCCCACGCTTCAAACCGAAACACAGCCATGCAAACACAACTGCTTCACGGTTGAAACACGAATGGGACAGAGGTACCCAAGCAATCGACTTTTGTACAAAGTCTCTTCGACCTGATAAAGTATATTATAACATCCCTTCTTACTCGATACAGGTAGTCTGTCGTTTTTCGCAAACATTTGCCTTGTGTCTTGTTAGTTTTATATTTTCCCATTTTGTTTTTAAATGTGTAAAGTTAAGCTTCTTATATTCTTAAGATCTTGTGTGTTGGGTGTGAATTTTAAAAATATTTTCGAACAATATGTTTCGCCTTTAATTGTATATCAATAATTGTGTATTTATTTTTACCGGATTGTTGTAGTGTCACTTGCTACAAGAAGCTTGATACTAAAACAATTTCTTTGTTTTTGTATTTGGCCCATTTGTTGATTTTTACATAAATTTGATACAGGTGAGTTCAAATTTCACGTATTTTCACTGGTATTCCGCCAGTATAAACTTATAGAACAGTGGGGGGGGGGGGGAGTATTAGTAATGGTTCTAACTGTCCCACAGCTAGCAATATACCCTGTTAGGTCGATTTATACACGGTTTCCCCTGGAAACCATCGTAATTAGCTCTTGTTGAATTCATCAAGATGGATTAACCCACCTGTTTCTATCCTCACCAATCACCCCTGGTGGCCCGCCAGTATATACTGATAGCGCACACGGGGTTCCCATTCCATTATCATCCATTTAATAATAGAACGGGCGGGAATAATACAGTATTTTTATGTAGGTATTCTAAACCGTTTTTTTATGGATGAAAATGGTATGGTAACCCGCCTGCGCTAACGGGATACGCTGGCGGAGCACCAGTGAAGGGTGATAGATGAGAATGAAAACAGGCCAGTTAGTCCATCATGATGAATTCATCAGGAATTAACCATGATAGTTTCCAGGGGGAACCGCGAGGAGCTCGACCTGGTTGGGTATATTGCTAGCAATGGGATTCTCAGTCTCCATTACTAACAATCCCTTTCCCCCCATTCTAAACCGTTAGGTACTCACAGAACGAGTAAATTGGTATAAGGACATATGACAATCGAGTGCTTTGGAAACAAGCACATAGTGAAATACACATTATGCTCGGTACCTAAACACAATTAGCGTTACATTGTAAGACAAAGAGTTCCCAGTTTACCT